GTGTCCCAAAACCCCGAATCGCCCAGAACTTGGCCGCCTTCTATCTAATCCAGCTCAAATTTTTACCATCGATGCGTATCATTCAGTCCTTCGTTTATGGAAATTTTTAGTTGAAAACATTGCTAAATGAAAAAGTTATAGCCAATAAACTAGTTTCTTCAAACGCGAGAGGGGGTTTTGGGGGCGCTTACGCGAGGGAAAGCGTCGATGGTAGCGCCGCGGCGGTCCGTCACCCCGACGGACGCCGGCCCATCTTTCTCCAGCCCTTTAAAACAATGACAGCACGATCCTACAGTACCCAAAAAACGCGAGTAACGATGAGCTGACCTCAACATCCATTAAAAATTACTAGCAAAAATTTCATAGAACACTTTCTGGCGGACTGGACCCGATCCTAAAACACGGCTGGAATCATGAGATGTTTGTTGGAGAGGAAATGGAGGGGGAACCGCCCGGATGTGAATGTGGTAAGTAATCCCGTTTAGAGAGATTCGAAAAGAGGCCTCTCGATCCCCCCGTAAATGCTGTAAAATGGCCCTCCGAAATGGGCGGTCAAAAAATCGGAGGGGGAGATGGTTGATGACCAGAAAGTAGAGAATCTGGGAAATAGATTTTTAAAAAACGAGGATTTTCGGCCAGGCATGTGCGAGTTTGTAGTTATTAAAGGGCCCTGCAAGGCAAGGGTCTATGGATTTTTCTAGTCCTGGCTTCCCTACGGGTTTTCGGCGCGGGTAAAGCCCAAGCAAAAACTTAAGCCTAATTCTATGCTCAACCCTAAGCTTAAGCCTAACTTAAACCTAAGCCTAAGCCTAAACCTAAGCCTAAGCCAAGCAGAAGCCTAACAAGCTCCTGAACATAAACACGATTTTTTTCAAGTATTAACGTTTAACCTTTAAAATATATTTCTAAATTGTCACTTACCGCCCCGAATAAAATAACAATATTTAGGTCGCAAAATACAGATAACCGGCGTCCGAATACTACCCGAGCGTTTCCCTGTATCTTGTCTGTTAACGTCCTCCCTCAATACAACCACCCAAGGCGGGTACCGTTTTCTATTTGTCGACACACCCCTAGAACTGATCATATCCTCCCCCCTGCTATCCCCTCTTACACCATACCTTACCACTAGATATAAAAACCCCGGTTGAGAACATTTCTCGGGGATCACCCCCCAAGATTTTTGATCCCGAACACAAACCTTAAAAATTTTATATGAGCTTCTTTTTCCATTGGATCTCTTGAAAAAATCGTATCTTATTTGATCTTTCCTTTATATTCACCTACCGTATCCAATCTATCTTCCATTCCCACCCTCACCCAACATTTTCGGCACTTTTTCAATACATCCCATCCCTCAAAAAGCACCGTAAGCCCCCGCCCGCTCATCCTGATAATCCGCCATGCTAGGCTTCACCCCTGCCGGGCGGAAGACGCAAATTGTGACCACCCCCATCGTCCCGGAATATTTAAATGAAAATTGGCGGCGACTGAAGATCACCACGAAAAAGCACTGTGTTCTAAATCAAATACCCGTTTCGACGGGGCCGTGTAGGATTGCGATTTTCTGATTTTGAACATCACGGCTGCATCCGGGCGTGCCTATAAGAAGAAAAAATAGCAATAGTTTAGTGAAAGTAGCAAATAGTATCATGGTTTTGGTTAAAGAAATTAGGGTTTAAAATTAGACGAAGAATTCTGAATATTCTCCATCAATTTTTATTAAGCGTAGTGATACCGCAATTATGACATTTGCAGGGCTTCAAAGGCCACCTAGTTTTAGCCCTATGTAAAAAAGTTGTGCCAATTTCATTAAAAAAAAATTAAAAGGCCATTTTTTTAATTTTGGGAGTAGTTTGTAGAACGGTTTATACGATAATTTCGGGTAGTTTTTGGATTTATTTATTTATTTATTCTCACACCAAGGTTCAGTTAAGGCGCTGACACTTTCAGGCTTCAAAACTAGCGTACCGGTGTAAAAGGTTAAAAGCGTTTAAAAAATGTAACCTGGGATTTTTATATTTTTGGTTAATTTTTCTTCTCAAATTTTTGTAAGCGATCTAATTTTGGGAAACTTGGATATGGGTTCAGATATATTTTTGATAAATTCCCTAAAAACTCCCGAAAAACAAAAACTCTCGCGCCAACCTCCAAAGACGAGGTACGGTAGCCGGATGGTCGAATCAACTGGAAAGGGCGAGGATGTCGAGAAGATTGACGGAGGTGAGGGGGAGAAGAAGCGTTAGGCTGTGGGGGGGGATCGGTGGCCCAGGGATTAGTGAAGGAGAGGGCCCGGGCCACAGCCGAGGAATTCAAGGAAGAAAAGTGTGGAGTATGGGAAAGGAAAGCGAAAAAACCGGGGGGTGGAAGGAGATGTGGGTGAGTGCCAAATGGCAAACATCTCCTCAGAAATTGGCCCCGACACCCGAGGCCTCAAGGATGGAAGGAATGGATGGATGGATGAGGACGGGGCGTTCTGCTTTTTTCTAAACCTTGCCCTGTCTTTAAAAAGATGCCATTCGTGGGAATTTTCGTGATAGGTCTCGGAACGGCGTTTCTGAGGGTGTTTTGGGATTGAAGGCAGGTAAGGGCGAGATTTCAGGCTTAGAGCTTTAAGATTCTGAGTTCAATGATCTGTTTCGCTCTCGCTTTTCTTGTATCTTTACGTAATACACCGTCATACCTATCTTTGACAACGTCTTGGCACACTCCCTTTATAGCCAGCTACTCGTGAGACTTCCGAGCGTACATGTATATATATCATAACGTAAGTAAGCACAATCTCGTACTTGACCAGCAGTTGCAAATCTACGTGTCACACCCCCTTAAAACACCTATATCTTCTTTCGGAACCAGATATGGAGTGTCGCGTACTCCAGCGAATAACCATGACACTGTCTGCATGGCCCCTTTAAAAGTCGACATCATGCGTCGCGTCCGTATAGTCGCGTATTCTTGTCAAACAAGCCTCAATTCCGACGAGCTTCCCATTTTGCACCCAAGTCTGATATAATCTGTATCCATGATCGTCCGGAATCTCTACACCCCCAAATACCAACCACAAGGATCAGACGAACCCAAATTAGCCCCGGAAAAAGATGGTTTTGCGTAACCCCGGAATCGCTTCCGGTAGGTGTCTGACATCTGATTTCATCGCACCTTCAGCCGGAAACTCCCGGAAACCGGGCGTTTTTCAGGGAATTGTGCGGATTTAAAAACGGCCCAGGGTCTTCGGTTTGCTTTAAAAACTTGGGATTGAACTTTTTGCCTTAACGAAACGAAAAGGATTACGCCCACTTTTTCGAAAATCAAAATTTCGGGAATCGGCGTCGAGCTAGCAATAGCAAAAGGCACTGGAGGTTATGGTTTCATAGCAATTACGATTTTTCGAAAAAAATTCCGTTCGAAAAATTATTCTTCTAAAAAGTGATTTCCCAAAAAAATGAGTCTGCAGTGGCGAGTAATTATTTGGACACATTTTATAAGGCGCATGTAATTTCGACTTCGCCCTACTTCCTAATCCTCGTCAGCCCCCTACCCATTTCTTTTCTATTTTTAGCCTCCTATGTAAGCCAGCAGGAGACCGATCCAATTTGTTGTGGTGTGGTGCAAACGGGATGGTGAGGGAGTAGTCCACCCAATTTGGGTGGGTTGATATCGATGATGATGATGATGTAAAAGCGAGCCCAGCGATGCGAGGAGAAATCTGGCCGTCACTACACATCGCTCCGCTGACTCCTTGAATTTCCGGGAAGGGAGGGAGGAGGGGGAACGGGCAAAGATTGGGCGGGTAGGGTTCGTGCAGCTATTTTTGGGTGCTTGGAAAAATTTATAAATCAAAAAAGTTGCGGCGGATTGGCAGCCTAAGCTTAAATCTAAGCCTAAGCCGGAGACTAAGCCTAAGCATCAGCCTAAGCCGGAGTCTATGCCTAAGCATCAGCTTAAGCCAAGCCTAAACCAAGCCTCACCTGAGTAATCCCTAGCTGAATTCTAAGCCCAGCCTCGGCCCAAGCCAAGCCCAGGGCCAAGCCTAACCTAAGCTTTAGCCTAAGCCTAAGCCTAAGTCTAAGTCAAGCGCAGGGCTGAGCCTACGCCTCAACCTTAGCCTAGTCCTAAGCATAGCATATCACAAGCTCAAATTGAACCTCCAAAACCTTCCAAAAGTTGTACCCTACCCACAAACGTTAAAAACTGCAACCGTTGCACCGGCTTTTGGTTCTTCTATGGAGGAAATGGAGCAGAACAAACAAATTATGAGTGGTCGACGCAGGAAACAAGAAGGAGAAGAAGAATATCGTCCACCCCAACACTCTGTCTTATGCTCTCGACGCGTCAGCTGAGGGGTGAAAGTAGAAAGAAACAGTGGACCGGCGGTACAACATTTTTTCAGTCTAGAAATAATCTTTGAAAAATAGCTTAAATATATAAATTCGCGAACCAAACTTGGTGATTAACGGTTCCTGAAGCCGAGAAACCTTAAATTTTTGAAAATTCAGTTGAAAACGCACAAGGAAAAAAATATAGAAAAACCAACCTTCAGACGAGGCCTTTAAAACTAGCTTAAGTATCAATTAGTCTAATTAATCTAAAAAACTTTATACATTTTCAAAAAAATAAATACTTTTATTAACAACGTTATTAACGATAAAGCGAACAAATTAAAGAACCAAACTTCCAGCGAAAACCTTTAAAATCGGCAGAAATACCTCGTAGCCTAATAAATTCAAAATCTCGGGCTTAGCTTCCAAAATGATAGAGATCAATATTATTAAAGTTTCTTGGAAACGAGACTTTCCAGTGATCACCAAAAAATCCGACTCCGTTTGTGTACGAATGAGAAGCGACCGAGCGCAAACGGTGGCTCGACCACACAAAAAAAGACGAAACACTGATCCCTTAAAACCCTCAAAACCCAACTGTACTGTAGTGTCATACATGACTTTTGTGATTTATACCAAATCAATCGATATGGGTTTCTAACTAGCTTTCGATGACTATCAAATGGCTTCTGTGATGAGCGAGACTCTTCTCTTCTTCTCTCGATAGAATAGGCGCTGCTCTTTTGGTGGAAGATTGTCAGGTAGGGGCGTTCCTTTTGTTTCAGGGATGAATACCTGAATATCAAATAATATTAAATTATATTTAGATTCTCCTGAAAATTCAGATAAAAATGGCTAACCTGGAATAGGAAGGCATCGAATAGGGTAAAAGCCAGAAGTGCAAGATAAGGAAGAACTGCTGAGATGTCGGACTGAAATTATTGTTTTACAATTTTACCTAATTATGAATTTTTTAATTTCCATACCAAATAAAATAGCTGAGGCGCCACAATCGTTCCAATACGACTAAACATCGCTAGTACGGCTACGGCCAAATTCCGCACGGAAGTCGGGTACAACTCATTGCAAGCCATAAATTTCGACAGGTACAACTAAATTAAATTATCGACTACAAAATACACCCCCACCTGACTACACATTGCCGTCGCCCCAATCGTACAGTACCTTAAAACCCAGCCACCGTCGTTTTGGGTCCCTAAAGAATGTATCTAGGGTTACAGCAGCGCCCAAACCAGTGTAGTACAGCACACAAACACAGGCCAGACAAAAGCCATTGAATACCAGCGCCATCATGTTGATCACCTTCCGGCCGAACCAGGGTAGTTTGTAGTCTGACAGGCCGACGGCGATGTTCATTGTCCAACGGATTATCTGGGAGTATGAAGGTAATACAGGTTAGCTTATAGGGTCGAGGCCTAGGCCAGTTTAAACCTCGGCAATGAAGGTATCAATCGTTAAAGCTCTTAAAAACGACCTACCCCCATAAAAACATTATTCCAATACAGCGAGCCACTCAATTTTTCCATGTTAAACATCAGCCCATAATTCGTAAGTGAAGTGATGGCACTATAAAGATAATTTTTCACTTTCCCTCTCTCTTCCAATCCCTTACATTCCAATTGCCAACGTGCACGTCCAAGAAATCATCTCCCACGTACATATAATATGATAATAGGTATACTGCCTCTGCTTCTTCACCCTCTTCTCGTGATTCTGTAATGATCAAAGCTCACCTTAAATGTGCCCACCCTAATTTTTTGTACCGTGGGAAACAGGCGGAAAAGAAGATCTTTGGCCCTCTGGGGGCTTTGAAAAAAATGGTTTCGCTAGTTTCGAGATTTCTCATTACTAATGATTACATTTTACATTTTGTTATGTTGGTTTTAGTAAATCGATCAATTTAGTTAACCGACCTCTTGCTCGTGGACCAGCATAGCTTCAAGTTCTTGTGGATTATAGTCACTATTTCTGTCAATTTTCCGGATCTTCGCAAAAATTCGCCTCGCCTCCTCGACACGACCCTTTTGAATTAGGAAGCGTGGCGACTCGTAGATGAAACTGGAATTGGTATGATTTATCTCTGTCACTATCCCTTTCAAATAATCTCCCCAAAATGACCAGTCGCCCCCTTTACAATCTGAATAGTCAAACAACCGACAATCTACCTAAAGAACCAGCCCTGAATTATTCATTCCGTATCTCAAGCTAGCTCTTAAAATTAATTGTTTTTCCTCGACCACCCGCTCAATGCCCTGTCAAAACGGATAAAAACATTCATTTCCGCCATATCCCGCTGCTTGTTTGTCTAGCACGCGACTTTTTCTGCGTCTCCTGATGCATCAATTCTGTAAGTGCAAGTCCACTTGGGTCCCTAAATTATTCTAAAAGCCTATTTGAATCTTTAAATCAAAATTTTGGCTGATTCGACTATTAAGTATACCTTTGTCGATGGCGGAATTGCGGAAATTAGGTAAACTCGCATGGTTGATAAATTGAGCCCATAGTCCCAAGTCGATTAGACCGGAGGGAAAAGATCGGGAAGGGGCCTTTTAATAAATTCGTGACTTGTCATTATTTCCATTTGATCCGTATATTGTGTCCTTAATGAAATTGGTAAGCAGAATTATTTGATTAACTTAATATTCATAAAAAGATACACAATTATCTGTTCGATTTTAGCCGAAAATGAAGAGCAGAAGAGCAAGGAGAGCGCCCCGAAAGAATTGATGGACTCACAGGTAATAAAAAAGATAGTAATTTTCAGGATTTGCCACTGCCTAGATTGCCGAATTTGCTTGCTATGCTTTGATTATCCCGTTGTTGATCTGGCTAACATGGAGGGTCGTGCGGAGGCCAACTTTTCATATAAATTTCAGGTATTTTGAAAAAGGCCTTTGAACCTAATCAGCTGTTTATATTCGAAAAATGAAGTCCCGATTTTTAGGATAAACCTCGCGTCTTTGAGCGCATCCGTTTTGGACCTACTATTAGTGCGTTGTGTCATTTTGGCAACAAATGCTTGGGGGGATCGATCAGTAAGTTTTGCATTGTTATTTTGGAGGCGCCGTTTCTGCGTTGCGTCATATAACCAAAAACCTAAGCCTAGCTTGTTGTTAAGCCTACGTGGCGAAAATTATTAGCTTAAAGGCATTGTAAAATCCACCAATTCATTTCAGTACTCAAACCTCACGTTCTGCCTCGAACAGTTTGGATTTATCTGGTATCGTGCCTCCTATTTTACGTTCATCCTGGAGCGTTTCATATGCGCAAAGAACAACAAAGACTACGAAAGGCGCCGATCGGCAATTTCCAAGGCCCTCTTTATTGCATTAACGGTATTTTTCCTAAATAATCCATCAAAAAAACCTTTAGTTAGCCCTATGTGTGATATTATACTGCTTATTTATAAGTCTTGGTAAGCTAAGCAATACCTTAAACCTATTAAACCCGTAGGAAGCATCTACGGGACGTTTTCTGTAATTTGGATCGTCCTCGTGCAAATAGCGACAATACCGGTTCGGAAGTGTATAAATTTAACCTTTTTGCAAATTTAGATGACGATTTATGTTTTGCTGAAAACGCGCAATGATTGGCGAAATCGTCACGTAAGCGCATCGCTCTCACAGGTATGCCAAAATAAGAATATAAATAGCCGTTTAGCGTTTCCAACTATCGGAGGCAAAACTCTCAGCCCGGATATTTGTTCCGTTGGTTGTGAGTAATTTCGGGGCTGTATCTTTGCTCACGCTTGGCTTGGCTATAGCAGCTTATGGGAATTTATCGGATGAGGGGGTTGATCAGGTGTATGCTGTATTGGATTGGGTAAGTGCGTAGTGTGTACATTGTCGTACTACGTCAAGCTCCAAAGACGTCAAGAATTGTACTTTTCAGATAGATTTCTACCAACGAATGTTCTTCACATTTTGCTTAGCATGGGCGGAAAGTGATGGAATTAGCAAAGGCTATAGATACCTTAAACGCAAACTCAGCCTCGGTATCAATCTTAACGTTAATTTAACTCGTTTAGGCGCCAAAACCGAAAAAGTATGTCCACACCAAGCCAGCCAAGACGAAATGGATACTTATTTTAAGAATTTGCACAAAATGTGGGCTTGACCGGCCCATAGTTTTTTCATAAAAATTATCATCCGTACGTGAAAGGGAACTTACGAAATACAAACGGCCGATAGAATGGCACAGATGGCGTTGGCCTTCAGAAGCGTTCTCCAGTCGTGACAATAATAGGCAATAATTGGAAAGATGATGAAGTTGGGTGACCAGGTGATTACGGTTGAAATCCACATACGATGCTTCATTGGGATGTTTTCAACTTGGTAGACACCCATTGAGCTGAAATATCGCATTTTCACCAAGTTGCCAAATAAGCCTGAGCAACCACCAAAGCAAAACCTACGTTGACAGCCCTCCCGTAAAAAATCCAACCAAAATTCGAATCCAATAAAAATAGAAAAAACTCGGGACATATGCGTTCATCAAAGAAGTGACGGCGATCCCAAAAAGAGAGATTAATATCGTCTAAAAATAGTTATTTTCTTCGAATTAAACCCACAAATTTGCGCCCATAACTATCGGAGACCTGCCCAAAGATCACCGCCCCAAAAAGCACACCCAGCATTTGCACCGAAATGGAATTTTTCACCAGTTTTTCTTCCTGGCAAAGGTAGTTGAACTGAAATATAGATTAAAATTTTAATTGAATTTAATTGAAATTAATCTCACCTCGACGTTCACGGAATAAAATTGATATTCGAGTTGCGGTACGCAGCCGGTGGTGGTTGTCAAATTCGGGAGTTGACGGCATGCATCTTTTTGATTTTCAAAAACTACTTCACCGCATGAGCGAATTATCGGGTTTGCGCCTAGGTATTTTATGATTAGGAGATTTAATTGATGTTACCAATAAATACCATGCATACCATACATATCAATGATGTTAATGTCATCATTTCTGTATTGAATAGAAAGAATAGGGTGTACCTAAAAGTATTAAAGGTATTAATTAAAAATTGGCCGTTTCAGGAACTGCCTGGCGTGTACGCGACACTACTAACGAACGTATCACTAACCTGCCAAGCGTCAAAAAATCATCAAGATTCTTGTGTTTGACCACTTCTGGTCTACCCTCTGCCTCAGCCCTCACTTCCGCCAATAACTGACGATCCTCTTGTGAACTTGTAGATGCTGCATCTTCTCCCTCTGCTTCTGCCATTCTAAACACACGAAAATAATTTAATAACACCAAAATCGATTCAACAAATGTGAACAGTTCTCCCCTCACAAGACATTAATTTCAAAATCACAGGATCAACTAGCCCCACAAATCAGAACGACAATATCCCCCTCCCGCGCTCCGCGCCACACACCACGTACTGGATGGCCTCGAAATCTCCCCCCGGATGCATTTCCGAGAGAAAGATTTTCACCCTTGCCACGCCACATCAACCACAAAAACCGGTAGAAATTGTGAATTGTTGCATGAGTTGATAGTGTTATACCGAGTATTGATTAGCCTGAAAGCCAATACGCAGAAATTTTATAATGCCGAAATTTCTATAAATGGACGCAGTTTAGCAGATCGAAAGATTTAGCCGGTTTTCGAGTTTTTTTATCGCATGGGTATTGGTTTATCGCCACTCAAATTACGATCTATTGTTTTATCGACGTGTAACGGGTATTGCAGTGTAATGGTTGTTGCTTATTGAAATTTTAATACATAGTGTTATAGTTGTGCAAAACAATGCTCAAATAGATTACCGTATTTCCATAAAACCTATGCTTGAAATAAAAGCAGGTGTGAAAAAGTAAATCGCGATAACCCTGCAAATTCGGGTTATCATGAAGGCAGTTCACAATTGTGAAATGATTGATAGGGTGCCGTTGACAGACTGTGCGCCACCCGGGTTGCACAATTTCGGCAAAAAGATACAGCTCACCAGCCGATACGAGTATCTGTGGACTAAAGAGATCAAATCCCGGTGAAATGGCACCGTTTTGGAGGATATTTTATGGAAATTAGAATAGATGCTGGCTTCAATGTGCCTTTAAACTGTTACAAAAAGGGAAGAGTTTTTTAAATAAATAGAGAACTGAACTAGATAAGTATGGCTACTAGATCCAGGGGTCGCGACAGATGACCAGTGGTCCCTAATCGTCCATGACCCGCCGCTTTTAAGAAATAAATTTTTATTCTAAAGTTTTGCTTTCTGTGTCTTCTCGTTTCCCTAAAGAGACTTGGAAGCTCCAAATTTTTTACCACCACGTTACTCTAGGCCTCGACAACTTTGAACATCGCCAAAATAGGCAGAGCAGGTGTTATAGCTAATTTCTACCCCGCTGTAATCTAGCCACGATGTACCTGTCGCTCGTCTACACTTCGTTGCCCAAAAAAAGGTAAGAAAAAGATGCATGTTTCTCATCTCCTTTAAAACGCCTCTTTTCACGTCATCGATCTTCCCGGAGCTTTTTCTTGCCTTCAAATCCTTCCAACCGCTCAAATGTATCAAATGACTTTAGAAAAACATATACACAAGCTTACCCCCCCTGCCCCGTGACACATTCGTTTATAACTTGCCTGAGGGCCCGCGAAATTGAGCCCCCAACTAACGACCCAAACATCTGTGACTCCTACCCCCTCACTCTTATCCTCTATCGATTTTTCTATTAAAAATGTTTATAAAAATCCTATATATTGCTGCTATTTTATGCGGTACCGAAGCCGTTACGGTATGGCATCATAGAGCGGTGTTTTATAAGTTCTTCAGCGTATATCGAGGGCACTGCCACCTAGACGGAATTTTGTCATCGGCCGTATTGCACATCCGGAGGTAACGGAATTATACTAAAAAAAACACTAAAAATCGTGCTATTTTTCAGCTAAAACTCGCCGAATACTACTTCCCACGCAACCAAATTGCAGAAATTTTTGCTGAAAATCACCTCGCCCATCCGATGTTAGAGTTTATTCCAGATCTGAAGAGAAAAAATTTAAGCCGTGATCAACTCGATCAATTCATCGCCGATCAAAATATTACCGACAAGTTGAAGAAGGGCTTCAAAGCGGCCAGGAAGCGCTATGAAGCGGTACACTTTGTAAATTAGTTCAACACGTTTTCCAGCTTAATTCCTTGAGTGAAGAAGAAAAGTTTACAATTGTGACGGCACGCCAGCTTCTTGGCAGTGTTGGAGAGCTCCTGGAGCGATTGCCGCTTGATCGAGCCGTGGTGGTGCGTTTATTTTTGAATAAAACTTGTTAACATGCATTTAAAGGAAGTGTTCAAGCAGAACTCACTTACGGTACCTTTATTTTTTTAGGTATCACGATTGATCGCACTCCCAGACCTTGGCCCACTTCAGCGGAATGACACCGAAAAATTAACTGACCTCAAGAAGAAAAAGGAATTAACAATATGGGACACTTTGGTTTAATGAGAGGTGTATTTTGGGTGATAATGGAGTTTTGCGGTGTTATAGGTCATTCGATAAAGCTCTAAATTTTGCACACCTGCTTTAACTAAAAAATTTTGAACGGTAACGGTCTTCGAGAAAATCTCGTTTAGAAGTCCGATTTTAAATTTTTGAAACCAACTGAAAAAATCAATATTTTTGAGAAAATTTTTATCGAAAACCGTTAGCGTTTATTATTTTTTTTCAGCGAGCTATCACATCGCAAACCTTCACTGTCACTTAAGAAAAACTCCTTGAAAACCTGCTTAAAATTCTCACAATCTTGGTGCCAATAAACACTCAACATCCAGATCGAATTTTCTAGAAACCCTTTATCGAGGGGCACACTAGCCGATCGGTCCCCCGGCTGCTGGGTGGACGAATCGTGTCTTTGCCGTGTCACCGATGGTTCTCGAAGGATCGTGAAAAGACTATAGCCCTAGGCGGAGAGCGGAAAGAAAGAGATGCACTGAGGGTGTGTAGAAGAGTGCGGTTTCTCATGAGCGCACGAAAATGGGGGGCAGCACCCTGACTTTACGGATCTATCCGCACAGCCATTTCGGTATGACTTTATTTCTCGAGCAGCCATTTTCTTGCCCTCGGGTTCGTCCATTTTATCGACAGTACCACCGACACTTTCAGCGGAATTGAAGTCGGATCCATCGGGACAAACGATCCCAAAATATCACAGGTCGCGGCCCTTTCTCCTCCATCCCTTTCCATCGCATTGCACGAACCGGGTTATAGCTGGAAAAATCGTACACCGGCGCCGCTCGCTTTTCGCAACCGGGGCCGCCCGAGATCTGCCCCTTCATAACTGCCTCCCGTTGATTGTGTCGAAATCCGAATTCGATAACCCTATATATAGACGAGCCGAATCTCGTCCCACAGCCCCCTCCACCGATTCGATTTTGGCCCTCCTTCACTATACAGCTGGCAAAGCGTTGTTTACCAGAAAATTCGGGGCCTGGGCGCACCGAGCGACTCATCGACCGTCAAAGCGATAACGCGAGGGGGAGAGCGCCATTCTCCAAAAAAAGGCATTTATCAGGGTAGTCCCGAAACGGGGACACCGGTGCCCCACAGAGCCCGGGCACCGTAAAATTGATAAGAGATGAAGCTTGGCCGGCCGCTTTCCATTCCTCCCAAAGATTCCCCCTGAACGACTAATCTAACACAGCTGTTCCCCAGGGGGCGCCGCGCTGGCTGGCGTGCAATAGGCTGGCGAACGCTAGGAAGAAAGCGTGTGAAAGACGATTTTGCGCATATCCTAAGAACAATGGGGGGCTTTTTGAGTAGGCTCGTCTGTATAACCCTCTAGCAAAACACATTTAACAATCAGCCCTCAATATTTGTAATCCACCCACCAAAACAACCCTCCCATACTGAAATTTCGACCCTCACTTCTCGGCCTGCTGGCAAAAGTCAATATTGAACCCTGCTGACCAAAACCCTTTCTTCAATGAACGTCCCTCGCCGGCCCGCTCAATTTTCAGCCTTGAAGTCAAGTTTACTCAGGCCTTCCCTGGCCGTCGACGTGGAGCAACGAGCTTTCGGGAAATAAAAGGAATTTAAAAAGAAAGAATAAATTATTTACGACAATTTTTTACAAATAAGAATTGTAGCAAATTGTCGACTAGCGGTGCGCTGCGTGGCGCTCCAAACGACGGGCTGGATCAGTCTTTCGACGAGGGTAGTGCTAAAACAAGTCCCCAAATTCTAATCTCCGATGTTTCTTGGGATTCAACAAAAAGTCGTTCTATCCCCGCCGCATCCTCGCTCGCCATCCCCCCATTTCCTGTTTGCCTGCGGCTTAGCGGATTTTTGAGACGTATTGGCTCCATGATAAGTATTTTCTAGACAAAGATCCCTCTAAAAACGAGCCGGTAAAACGCTGCAATTTCTACGCATAAAACTATGCCAATCACATCGAATGAAAGCCGTTTGCTGCACTGTTGGAGCCTCCAACAGTGTTTCCCAATTCGGCGCCGCTTTTTCGCAATCCTTGCCTTTCCCACCCCACGCCGATCTATGAAATTTAGCCCTTTCCCCGGCAGAGCAGCTGGTATCGAGGCCTGTAAAAAACACATAGGCGGCGAGTTTAGTAAAATTTCCTCAGGCGCCCAATCGAACCTTCTACGTGGGCAATAGAGCCGAATCCCCATCCCTGGTAGCTGTAGAGAACTAGTTCTGCTCAGAGCGCAATTGCCCCGGTGCACGGTCGGGCGCCACGATCTACCCACCTTTTCCAACTATATTTTGGCGTTGGCCTTATTTTCACAGAAGCATTGTTGTTACGTTGCTATTTGCTGGGCGAGTGTTTATTGGTACTAAGATTTTGCGAATTTTAAGAAGGCTTGCAAGGCACGGTTTTAGATGGTAGATCTGATGGTCATTCGATAGAACTTGAAATTCTGAAAATTGCTTCATCGATCAAATCGAGTATTTCAAGGAAAGAAAAGTTTGGCAAAAGCTGCATTTTTTTCTCAGCCGGGTGTCAATAATTAGAGCCAAAACCAGTCGGCCGTAATCGTTCAGTAATTTTGGAAGGAACGGCTTATGCAGAATGTTTAGCTCTATCGACCGGGCTATAACATATCACAAAACTCTACTATCCCCTAAAAATAACTCCTTGTTGGCACTCTTTCATTCCACGGGTCATTTTCTTATTTAGCAAAGCCCAGCTGGCGCGTAGTACGCAGCAATTGGGTACGTTTGTTTGTATGTGTGTGTATCGCTCGACCATCGGGTGTCCCCCCGGGGGCCGAGAGGGGGCCTAAAGCGAAGAGAGAGCTGTTCGCTCGGCGGAGCCGCCGCGCGGCCGAGCGACCAGGCCGAGTGGGCTCGTATATGCAGGGGGAAAGCCTCGCTCTACCCCCAACCAACCCCCCAAGTGTGCTCCAGGCTACCCAACAACCCCTAAAACATTCACCCTTCCCTTCCAACAATCCCTTATTTCCTCACAAACACTTCCTAATTTCGCTTATGTCGACCTGACAACCGGCTGTAAATTACCCCGACTAGATTCTTATGCTTTTTAAAACTTACTATAAAAATTTCTCCGATTTTTCATGTTGTTTTCTTTTTCTCTCTTACTAACTTGGATTTTTCCAGCAGTCCATCTTCTACGTCCCGCAAAATGGTCAGCAAGCGCGAAAAACAATGGTATGCCATTCGTTTTTTTTGTTAATTTCGTCGTTTAGTCAGCAGGAAATCGAGTTCAAGGAATTTACCATCTTCCACAAACGCGAACCACGCAGTATCCTGATCAAGATCGAATTCCATCCATCCGGTAAAGCATCGTTTTGCTTCTTATTGCTTGTTTAGTTGCGAAGCCGCAGATGAGCATGGGAGGAAAGCCTAACTGTTTCCCTTGCGAACTCATCGGAACGGAATCGAAAAAGCCGAAAAATCTGAGGGCACGCTTTCATCCAGAGGCCATCTTTTGGGTCAACGTTAATTCGTCATTTATGGATTTGCTGATTGAAAATGCGCGCCAGGTCAGATTCGTAGTTTTTTTGTTATTTCTTGTTTCAGACCGCTCTTACCATCTTGGGCGCCGAGGATTGGGCCATCGCTCCGGTTGAGCTGCCGGACCCTCGCAAGGAAAGGTCGTCTCGCCTTCGTCAACTTCTTGGTGCCATTCCTCCACATGTCGACCAAAATGCTAATACGTAAGTACAATGCATTTTCAAATACGTTCCTAGGTTCTCGATCGTTTTCCCGTTGCTGGCCACAGACAAGCTGAAGAAAAAGCAGCAGCGCCGTATTGAGGAGAATCGCGGTATGCTCGGTCGGGGCAGCTCTTTGAAAGCGGAAATGGCCTGCGAGGTATTTATCAATTTTTTATCTTAAAATTATATATTATTCCAGGCGGGACGCGCCAATGTCCACATACGCTTCGAAGACGCTGAATTTTCCGAGCTTCTTTGGTCGATCGTCGTGGAGAATGTCTGCGCGACCGGCAGCCCTGTCGTCTGCACTTTTGAGGTGCGGATCTATCGATTAAGGCTAACGGGATTCGAATGGGTATTACGGATGCTCTAAATTTAACTCGCCTAGCGATTTGCGCTCCGATCTCCAAGACGTGTAATGCCTATAAAAGAATTCCATCCCAGGATCTCTTGCTATCAGTAAAACTTCAGGTCGTTGACGGGGCACTGATAGCGGGTCATGGCGATAAATAGCCTAGGATAATGTGGCTTTCTATTCGTTTCCCCCTGGTTCTTACCGTAACAAAAGTTTTTCAGGTGACCGCCGAGGCGTTGATCCTAATCGTGCCAAAAAGCGACGTTTCCTGCAGCACATACAAGGTTGTCCACTACACGACTTACGACGATATGGGCCGTCCGCAACAGAAGGTATAAACGTTGATTCTTGTTGATTTGCGCTTGCGTATCAAAAAAAATTATTTGGTTGCGCTCTTTGTGTCCTTGTTTAAAGCCCTGTCCTTGATGATTGCGCCTGGGGCGCTATGACCTTGGAATGACGTGATGGTGATCGCTCTCTGGTGCAATTTTGGTGTAGACCCGGCCCCGTTAAGGGCTATTGATTCGTTGGAGGTTTCGCCGTCCCCCTAAATGCTTATGTCCTTACCCCTGGCCGCAATCATATTGTTAAATTAGGCTAGCTCTTCATTCGGGTTGACCAAATAGCTCGCATTTTTGCGTAGTTTTGTTTCAGAATGTCGCCATTATTTTTATTTGCAAGGTCTGCCAACCAGCGCTATTCCGATCCACTACTATTAACAGCGGGGGGGGGGGGGCTGGCGTGAAGAACGAGACCCCGGTTGGTTGGTGTCGGGGGGCCCCTCCTCCCTCCCCTCATTTCTCTTTGTACCGGCGAGGCCATCGGCGGCGGCGCTACAGTGGTCGGGCTCACGTGACCTCTCTTTTTAACCCCCGTTGCTTCTTTCTCCATCCGCCTCGCCTCCCCCTGCTTCGAAAAATGGCTCGGGCCCCCGGACGACACTCGCCCAAAACGAATGCCCTACGAGGCAGCGACCAAAAATCTTTAGAAAGCTCTACATTTGGACCTACCTAGCGTAGTCTAGGCTTTCGTGACTCCTTGCTAACTTCAAAAAGTCCCAGGTCAACTTCCATTTTAGGCTTTGGTGGTCCTTTTAGCTTTTTGCACTTAACGACTTATGGAGCAAGGCGCCAATTTTTCCGGGTCTATGGGATTGCAAAGCTTTTTTTAAGTCTCCGGCTGTCACGAGTTCGCGACAGAAGCGCGCTCACTTCCCCATCCCACAGTGTACGATGATTGCCTCGGGCAAGGGCCAAGGCTAGCCTTGTAATTAATTGCACCAAATGCTCGTTCACCAAGCAAAATCGTCGTTTATCGGCGTGCTGACCGTTTGATTTGGGATTATCATAGTGATCTTACTACCGTGAAACAGCTTCTATTATTTTAAATTACCTCTTTTCGGCTTTAAGAATTTTGGGGAAATTCCATGCTGATTTTGCGTCAAGATCTCAATATACGAAGCATCTTTCCCTCTTAAAAATTTTCTTTTTAGAAGATGAGAGCGATCGAGACTATCGTTGCCGACCTGAAGAAGGCTGTTGATGCTGAGGCGCTGGCCATCAAGAATCGATCGGAAAGCGTGAAAACTGGCCAGCGTGCCAACCGGAAGATCATTCTGATTGGCCAGACAGATGGCGAAAGTGTGCTCTCCTTGGGTAACAATGTAAGTTTTCTTTACCTCCACTTCGAGTTTTCTACAATAAGTCTTTTATATTTTTTTATTTTAGATTCAACACCTGATTGAACGGCCCGATTGCCTTCAGCCTTTGGCCGTAGCTGTCGATGTGCCGTCCGTGCGCAGCCAAATTTCGCCGGATTCGCTGCTTCTCTCGTCGTCGCCGGCGGATTCAACAGATTCCGGGGTTGGCCGTAGCCCAACTGCATCGCCGAAGGGTTCAATGTTGTCTCCATTCTATCAACGTAAGATAGCGAATTTGATCTCACATTCGGGTTTTAGAATACAGCCTTCTGAGCCTGCGCCAGCGCTCCTACAGCGAGAACTGCTCGGGGATCAAGGGCATCTTGAAATGGCCGCTGCCCAGGACGACTTTCAATCGGTAATATCTTGTTGCTGGCTTTGAATCTGGTGCTAAAGAGCAAGCCCCTTGAACAAAACTAATTTCCGGGCTTTGTGAAAATATCATTTTCAGTTCTGTTTCTGAGGAACATGAAGATGAGCGCGAAGTCCGGCGGTTCATGGTATCGCCACCTCTCGAGACGGCACCGGAAAACGTGCCTCGTCGTTTGAAGCGCATCTCTTTCTCTGAAACCATTGACGTCCGCACCTTCATCAAAGGCTCGTGTATCATGCCGGAAGGCCAAAACCCACGCCGTCGTCGTGACTCGAAGGGCAGCATGAAGGTGCCTGAACAACTGGTAGGTTTTACTTATTAAAACATGAACATCCTAGAAATCGCACTTTATTTATCTTTCTTTTTCAGGATGAAACTTCGCCCCCTGTGACTGAGAAAAATGATTCTGCTGTGAAAGAAGAAGAACCTTTCGAGAAACCCGGCCTTCGCACCAACGATCGCCAGGACAGCGGATTCTGTGATGGTGACGAAGAAGAGTCCCTCAAACTTGAACATATTAATGTATAGGAAACCTTTTACGGTTGTAATGTACCTAACTATCAGTTCCAGCCCACTGTTGTTGTATATATGTGCCTAATAATCTCTTTTCTTTAAATCCTGTCGGCGGTTCGCGTCTCTTTTAGGAGCCCTTTTTCTAATTGATCAGAGGAAACATGGAACTATTTAGAAGATATCCGACGCGAACCCTTGACTGCCCATACGATCTGTATATCTTTTTTTCTGGTACAATACGGTTATGTTCTTCAAAGGCTAATGCTGGCTGTTTGCGTAAAAATAAGCTGTGTTCGCATCACATCATATTTTTGCCTTCTCAGCTTCGCAAAAGCCCGAGATTTTTCTGAGCAATACATCCACGAATATTTACGTTTCAAGTAAAGCTTTTTTGTTGAATGTTATACCATGATGCTCTACGATGTGCTACTTTACCAAGGTTTCAGTGCTGGGATAATAAGTGTTGTGCCCAGCATTGGAACTGTGGGGGTTTCAGCGATCTAATTCCATAATTATTTTTTCCATCCTTGTACATAGGGAATCCTGAATCTTCTGTACATATTTATTGTTAGTCCTACGCGACATGCCTTAGCGTAAATACGGCTTCTTCCCCGTCGATATAGAGCTAGGTTGGTGCAAAGTGTGCTGCTCCATCCATCAGCACCAACTCAGCTCATGCTCCCATTTTACTACCTTCCCTCTGGTTGCTAATGTTATTATTTCCCGCCATTAACTTATACCCCCCGATCATCAGTAGTTTTTAGTCATCCTTACAAAAATTTACAAAAAAAAAACAAAAAATACGGGCTTTTGGTTATCTCCGGTAGTTTTAGTAGTCTCCGTTCTTGATTAGTTTTCTTCGCAGGCACCGCTGTTTTGTTTCAGTTTACCGTTCAATGTGCCGATTTTCGCGGAGGCTAGCCGACCCTTCTTTCAGTGCCATCGCGCACGCAAACTATCCTTGCGACCCTTAGTCGCTTTCGGCGTAGCCCCGTGAATTCGACACCTGTTTTTGAAAGCGGTTATTTAAGGGTTTAGGCTAGCGAAAAGTTTATACTTTGAATAAGCCGGCACAAATCTCGGGTTGTAAGCATACATCACCAGGATGCCGCAGTCCTACTGTTATACGTGAGGAGGCATTAGGCCTCTTTAACAAGTAGTTAGTAAAAAAATAAACCAGTAAACTTCATCCCGTCAAAAAGATGTATTGCTGCCCTTTCGGTTAGTACTGATAAAATTTACAGCAGAAAGAATTTTATGCACATCAACACACACCTAATAGTTATGATCGTTCCGAGTGCCTTGAATAGTGCTCGATGCGCCGCCGGTCGCATCTGTCCATGTGGTCACCGATTTTTCGTTGGCTGCTTGTTGATGGTCATCGCGTCCAAAGATTCTAAACATGAGAGTTGAACATTCTGCAGCATTGCATAGGTCTTAATTGAGATGCGACAATCCATTGCCTATATTGAGAGCAACACTACTCACTTTTCTCTGCGGCTCTGTGTCGTGCGTCGCGGGTTCTCTTTCACATGGTTGTTGTAGATGTGCCGGTCGATGTTGGCTTTCGTTAAAGTAGCGTAGTCGCAATGAGGGCATTTGTATGGCCTCTCACCGGTATGTGTCCGCTCGTGCACACGTCGTGAAGACGAATTTCTGAAAGGTTGCTTATTATTATAATTAAGCTGATTTCTCCGATTTACGAAAAAGCGGGAACGTTCAATACGAACCTAAAGCGTTTATCGCAGTAGTGACAAGGGAACGGCAGCTCGCCGGTGTGCACGCGGTAATGGGTCGCATAATTATGCCGGTAAAGCTTTAGCCCGCATGCCGGACATTCCATTTTCTGACGATTCGTATCATCTTCTGCATTAGCAAGTGCTCCTAAAATAATGGTTTAGAAGCAAAAATAGAGACTACCGATCACTTTGGGGAAAGTATTCGCATAAACGATGCTAGGGTTCGAAAAATCCAAATCATCATCCTCAGCAAACGGCTCTGGTTCACCAATTGCCTCTTCCATCAATACACCACCGTAACTAAATAAGCTATTTTAGCCATAGCCACGGAAACATACTCCATAACTGGTGGAGCATCACTAGTGCTAGGCAGCTCGTCATCAAGTGGCATAGGGTCGAGATTGGACGGCAATTGAGATGGGGCTTCAAGGATATCAGCTACTTCTGCCAGCTCACCGCCATGATGATTCTGTAGCGACTGAAAATGCGACGGATACCGAACAAAAGCGTCAGAAAAGACGATCTCGGTAATTTCGCGGGAACGCACCTGACGAGCTGCTTCGAAAGGAATGGATGCCTCCACGCTGACTAGAATTTCGATGCCATTTGGTCCTTTGATCGTCTGCCCAATTTCAGTACTTCTATTTGTGGGTGGCTGAGGGTATATGCGAGGCTAAATGGCGAAAATTGAAATCTCGTCCATTCAAGCAAAAATCTACTTTGTGTATGGGTCTCGTCTTAACGGGGATCGGCCTTCGTTCTGTCTTTATTGCTCGGCTCCCTTGCAAATCAACACGAATTACAGTCCTTGGAGCCGGGCGTGATACCGCCTAAAAACAACGTTACTCTCTGACTCCAAAATACCCTTGCGACAATTCCAGCAACCGGCTGTGATACTTGCGCATGAGTATGCGGGGCAGCGCTGAATTCGTCGAACGTATTCAGCAGCTCATTCTCGAACGCATATTGAACACATTCCTCCACATGCCAGTAAAATTCCGTCTAAATGTATTAGCGAGCTATTAATAGCAAATAGAAAACAAACCCCATTCTTAAAGTCTTTACAGCATCGCTGACATTCCGAGCACCGCTGGTTTGGGGCTAGATCCGGCAAAAAGCCCGGCTCTTTCCGACCGGCGTACATCTGTAATGGTTTTATACTACCTCCTGAGTAAATAGTTACAAAGGTAAAGCGAAAATTCGTAATTTTAAATAGCTTTATGTTCATAATTTAGCGATATTTTCCTCAAAAGACAACGGTATATCGGTCGGATGCACGAAAAATTAGTTTGGAAAAAACAAAGTACGAAGTACAGCGGCGACGCAGAAGACGATTTCTCTCCTACTATCTTCAACTGCTTATGTTATCTTATGCTTGTAGAAATTACTCATTCCTGCAAGGGCGTGTGGTTGCGACGGCACCCGTATCGTCTCGTAGCCGCAAAAACCCCTCCCCGACGGTTGTGGTCCGACTTTCCGCCCACCCTTTACTACCGGAACGGGCCGCAAATGTCATTAGCTTTAGATAGCCCGTCAATTCTTGTCACGATTAGCATCAATCGAAAATTTGCCGCGCCACTTTCAAAATAAGCTCAAGTAACGCTCAGATACTAACAATTTATTTAACGTAACAATGTAAAAACATAACGAAATAACAAAATGAACAAAAGGGGGTAAAATCGTTACCCTTCTCTCCCGTCTCTACCCCATCCACAAACATCGGCATCAATCACTGAAGACACTTTCTATACTTTCTGAGCTTGCACTTTCACTCGAGGTTGGCGCCCGTGGGTCAACTTCTTCTATGGTGGTCCAATCGTAGTCAAGCGGAGCCTCGATACTAGTCCCCGGCTCCTCCTCAGCCGTAGATTCGTCTTGAGTCACTTCCTCCTGAAAAAAATCGAGTCACGAAACTTCAAGCCAGTTCAGACCTGTAACTCGGTTCCGGGCTTCTTATACGTTGGATCGAACAAAGTACGCTCGTCACCACGCGGTGAGAACACCCGTAAATAATCTTTGAAGAACACGAAAGACCTATAAAAATAATAAATGGATATCCAAAAATTCGTACTCAGGTAAGTGGAAGCGGCCTAGAGGAAAGAACGAGGTGTATGTCAGCACCGTGCCAGCCGTCGCATCAAATTGATAGCCGTCAGGATTATAGATGACATTGAGGTTCCTACGAAAATAAATTACCGTATATCAACTGGCTCACCTTGCGATAATGTGAAACGTTTCCGCGACGGGACGCGTGATGAATTTCAACGGCTCCAGCGGGCAATAGATAAACAATCGGATGTTCCAACCGTTGACCATTTCCCAATCTTAAAGCGACCAATTAGCCGAATACATAAAGTAAATTGCGGTTCTACCCATAACGCCGAATTTATCTCAAAAACCCACATTCTGTATCCTGCATGAGATCTACATAATGGTAACAAAAGATCAGCATGAATGCCTCGGTAATCGCGTAATAATTGCCGTGGTTGACCAGGACCGGTGAGGACAGCTTCGCCTAAAAACGCATATAAGCAGTTGGAAATCCGGCGCTTACCTGGGCTTCAACATATTCCATCAACCAGTCCTTCAACTTTCGCAACCATTCGAAAGCCATCCTAAACAAAAGCTATAGAATCAGAGCTATACGTACCCTGTGCTTATAAAGGTCGCCCGTGCGACGACCGCGCCCAAATATCCGACACATGACTGACACCTTCCTTGGTCCGCGGAAGTCCGTGCTGTATCCACCGTAAATCGCCACAGGTTGTTCAACCACAAATCGATGGTCCGCGGCTAAACAGATATGTGAATTAACGAGACAGGCTGGTGATTTCGACCAATTTCCAGTAACATTTCCCAAAAACTAAAGATACCTCAGAAAGCACGCAGACGTAAAGCCAAATGAAAGCAACCATGTGGGTGTTACGGCTTTTCAGCAAACACAAACTGAAAGAATCAGCAAGCAGATCGAGGATTTCCATTTCGGGACCAAGGTGCACCCATGTCGGATCTAGGAAAAATTGGGAATTATAGAGCCATAGCTTACAGTTGGGCAAATCTTTGTTCATCGTGACGGCAATATATTCAAAAACCGTGACCATACACGCATCCAACTTCGTCATTAGGTCCAGTACTTTTTCGGGCAAAGTCGTATCCATCACGAGTTCGTCAGACTACAACTTATCATCGTAAAATAACATCCAAACTCCTTACGTAAATGAAAAAGTTTCTTGCATCAACGGCGCCAAATTCCGGATCCTTATAACACTTGGTGACGAGAGCCTAAAAATAGATTTTAAAGTAATAACAATCACCCACATCCATTTCAATCAACTGGTCTGTGAGCGCAGCCCAAACAGCGCCACGGATTGCAAAAAGATATTCGCCAACGGTGATCTGGTTCCGCAAATGGTTGAGGATGACCTGAATAGCGCCGTTAAATATGATAATTATTCTGAATAATTACCGGACAATCCAGCGAATGATGAGGTCGCCTCTGTAGAGCCCTCAGAATTACCATTTCGGCCCTAAGGAAGAGGTTTATTCTTAAACGTTGTCTTACGATTGAGTACATCTATTGAGAGAGACAAGTGTTGAGTGCGCCAACCAATACTGACGATTTAAGTCGGACACTGGGTCTTCCGGGTCTGGAACACTTGTTTGAAAAGTCATGAAAAGATTACCATATGGCCGGAAATTGCGAACACACGCTTGAACGACAAGTTCCATCAAACTCATCCGTCGAAGTGCGACTTCCACGAGGAATTTACTATACTTGTCGTTGAGCGATGGCGGGATTTGAAGCCATGGAACCCACTAAATGCGCTAGTTTCAGGCGTTCATTGGATGCTCATACCAAGAGCCCCTTCAGGAGTGAAAAACAACGCTGATCAGTTACATAATCGACCGCCGAAAAGTACGGATGCAGACATTGCGCTCGTCCCAGCTCGTCCAAATTTTTAAAGTTATCCAGCGTTGTGACCATCGCATCATACATGTGACGTTCTTTTTCCTCCCCCTAAAGCAATAAAAAAGTCCACAGAAGAAGACAGTACCTTTAAATAACCGATCAGGAAAGAGGTAGCTGTGACGTCCTGCCATTCTACTGGTCTTTCAGCCGCGACTGCCAGACTCTTGAAATGTGCCAGGAAGTCGAAGTTCCTGTCTGCATGCATCCTAAAACTAAAGTTCAAACGGCTCTCGTAATACAATTGAGCCCCAAGAATCAGCCACAAAAGATCCATAGATAGGCCAACTTGAAGAAGCTAATTTCCAGCCCGCCCTTGCAGACAGTGGGGGAAAACGCCATTAAAAGAATCCATCACTTGTGTATTCTGCTGCAAGGTTGTGAAATAGCAAGGCACTCACCAGTGGTACATGTCACCAGCACCGGTCCCTCTCTCCGAGACCCCAGCAGCGGGCAAAAAGCAACGAGACATTGTGCCGCAAGTAGCCGAGTGCCCTTCAGAGGAGCCGAATCACACCTGAAAATCAATCTTATCCAATTCACACTAGCCCATAAGGTAAGCAAGGACATGGAAAACATCAAGCTCATATTAGGAGTGGTACAAATTGAATCTAGAGCGCCGATTTCAGCAAAATAGTAATTTTTCTATGAATATCTGCAAATATGAACGATCCTAATACTAAACTGGCAACCCCTTTCCCATTACGCCCTTTTAATAAATTGGCTAAAAAGTCTGTAGAAACTAAAATTACAAATAAAGGCCCTGAAATTAGTTCAAAGCCCAGAAATGTACCCATTTAATCGTCAATCCCACTCGAAACCTAACGTAATTTACAACCCCCTAGAGAAAACTCACCGTACTCAGCTCCATTTTTCAAGCCGGATCGAGGAGGTCCGACGGCCAGCCCGGAGCGAAATCGCCCCGGTCTTTCGACCGGGACGAATCGGTCGGGCCTGAACCGCGGCCTAAAAAAAAGAATTCAAACAGGACATAAAAAGGAATTGAGGGGAAAAAACGGAACAAGAGGACTTTCTGGTTGTGAAAAAAAGATGGTTAAAAGCAGCGCAATGTTACTGCAAACCTCAATGTATTTTTGGCGGCTGAGCTGGCGAATAGAGTAGAGCGGTAAAACGCGCCGAAAACAAATAAAGAAACTGAAAATTCATTGAAAAATTTGCCTTTTTAAAATCAATCGAAAAGTAAATTCGGGAAAAGACAAAACCGAGTGGCGTTCCCTACGCGGCCGTCCGTCCGTACCCGTTCTCTAAACGATTTTCGTTAGGAGGACACTCGCGTACACTAAAATTTGCGAATTCTGGAATTGGAAATCGTCCCTGCGAATTGTTTCTTTGTATAGTTTTTCTAGTAGGCCTTTTTGAGAACGTGATTGGCTTGTAGTGCTTACATCTCCACTTTGTTTCTTTCCGTAAAACCCCTCGGAAGAAGTTAGCTTAGAAGAAATCCCTTTTACTTTTTCGCCGCCCTTTGTTTTCCTTTGCAAATTCGTGTTTTCCGTTACATTCATCATAACATCAGATATTTAGTGCAGTGGACACAATGCCATCGGTAGACGAGTTTTCAAAAGACGCTGGCGCTCCATTCGAAATGAATGATGGTTTCAATCCGCTCCTGTTGGGATCTCTCGGACTTCTGTTCTCAGCGTAAGTCTTTTTTGCTATGCTTCTATGAATAGGCTTTTTTTGATCATAGGCTGGCTGGTGAAAGCAAAATGGGACGACGATGCAGCGCGGCGAAGACGGGAAGCATTAGGAATGTTCGCTCAGCAAGACGAGGATAACGGGCGGCAAGCGCAAAATGGTAGATTGTTTTTAGCTGTTATGTATTGTTTAAACAGTTGCCGGTCGCCGACGGGCGCCAATGCGCCGCCGTGTTCATAATGATGATGAGGATTTCGTTGCTCATTTGCAGAGAATGGAAGACGATGAAGGTATGCAGCTTCTTCTTGGCTGAGGATATTTTTTGCAGGTGATGATGTTCCCGATTTTGACGGGCTGCCTGATGAAACTGAAGGCATGGGCAAGAAGAAGCTGGCAAAATTGCAAGCAAAGGCTGAAAAGAAGGCTGCGCGTGAGGCTGAATTGGTCGAACGGGAAGAACGGAAGAAGCGTGAAGCTGAAAAGGAGAAAGAGCGGGAAGCTGAGAGGGAGAGGTAATTTCTTACTGCCTGATAGTAGCCTTAAAACAATCCGTACAAAATTTTATTTATAGGGAGCGCCTGGAAGAAGAAGCTGAAAAAGAACGCCTACGCAAAGTGAAGGAAGAAAGGGAGGCCCGAGAATTGGAAGAATACTTGAAGGTTACTGACAAAATTCGAATTATTCAAATCGTATTTAGTTGAAAGAATCTTTCGTTGTTTCTGAAGAAGGATGCGATGCCGTCGAAGGAGAAGAAGCGGAGAATTTGATCATGAGATTTATTAATTACATCAAGGAGAATAAGGTTGTTGCGTAACGCGAAATTCAAATTTGCCTTTCAGGTTGTCAATATGGATGAACTTGGCGCCCATTTCGGCTTGAATGCAGAAGAAGCTGTTAAACGCGTTAAACAATTCCTCGAAAATGGAGAGTTAACGGGCGTGATGGATGATCGCGGAAAGTTCATCTACATCACAGAAGAAGAGCTAGAAGCAGGTAATCCTTGAAAAATATGGATTGCAGTTTTTGTTACATGTTGGCGATCCTTTTGTAATATCTTATTTCCAGTGGCAAAGTTTGTCAACCAGCGTGGGCGTGTCACTATTCCCGAATTGGCCACTTATAGCAACAGGCTTATCCGACTGGATGCTGAGGCGAATGCGGCATGACCATTTCTGTAATTAATTTATCGTCTGTGATTTGTTGAAAGCATAAATTCTGTTTTTCCGAACACGGGGCACTCTTTTTATGTTCATGGTCTTTTTTGGGATGTCACGGGTTATTAAAGGCTAACACATGGCTAAGCGATTTTGGATCATTCCTGCTTGGCGCGATCGTAATTCGAATTCTTCACGAAATGTTTTGCTTCTCGCAACTTCTTGGGGGGTTGGCTGGAATCGGGGACCCCGAAAACGTTGATGTTTTGGGAGATGAATCAGCCGTTGGTGTGCTGGGCGCTCGACATTTGTCACGGAGTTTCACATCGATTCGGTTCGAACCCCATCCCATCGGATTCTCACCGTGATGCCAGCTGAAGAACTTCCGGAGATCTTCGCTTTCTTTGATACGATTGGAGATGGAAAGGTCTACGTCGATCAGGTGAGTAGGTATTGGCCCACTCCTGATGTTTTATCTGTTAGCTTGGCAATGTACTACGCGCTGCTGGTTTGACCCCTACGGAGGCTATTCTCGAAACAATGTCAAAACCATGGGCCGGTAATAAAGGTACGCAACAGTGAAAAACAAAAAAATATTGCCTTTCAGAAGTCCGTTTGACCGTCGAAGACGTCAAGCCGATCTATTCGAATGTGAAGAAGGTATGTTATTGGTGAAACGACCGGGGGGACTGTGATTTTAGGAGATGGGCAACGATGTCCTTTTTGAGACGATGCATGCTTGCCTATCTCACTATGATCGTGAGGGAAATGGCACGATCTCACATGCTGATCTGCGCCATCTGCTAGTGTCGTCAGGTTAGTAGTACCAAGTCACTGGTCTCAACAACCCGGACGTCGAGAAATAAACGGACTCGCTGGTTTTTAGGCGAAAAGATGAGCGAACGAGAGGCTGACTTAGTCACGAGCAGCTTCTTCGTCCCCGATGGCAACAATGTTGACATCACCGAGTTTGTCAAGCATATTCAGGCCCTTTAATCGACCGGCGATTTTTCATTTTTTAATGACACGCTTTTTTCGGAATAAATCAATGCTATTTTGGCGGTGGTTACGTGAAGAAATTGGGATTGCAGACAGATCTTCACACAAACCGCGGAAATCGATAATTTTAGTGGGATCACATAAGTGCAGCAACAAGATGCGGATCAAAAATTGGCATGCAGCCATTATAGCCTCCGGGCATAGTGTTGACCTGGGCAGATATCCGAAATGAGAGGTCAACGGGATCTACTCACCTCCTCATTCGGAACTCATTTCCATCATTCTTCCCATCCCTCATGTCCTCCTTACCCGACTGTCAAATAGGCCAAGCCTATTCCCGGCTTCGCCAACGTCCACTACGAGATGCACTTCTCGAGCGGAATCTTCGAAAGAATTATGGTTAGCTTACTGTGTAGTTTTAAACGCTATTTTATTTAGACGAGTTGTACGAACGTCCATCATCATGTTCGCCAGGAGGTTCTTGCCGATTGCGTGCACGTTCACCGATCCGAGTTATTTGCCCGATAGTGACGAAGACACTTGTACTAACTGCGTGTCTGCGCATTCCACTCGCGTTCGGGTAGGTTTCATATAAAGCAGAACGGCATAAAAAAAGTTAAACGCTTGGGAATAACATGTCTGTTCCGTTAAACTAGAAATATCCAATGGCTTGCAGACTTTTGGCCACAATCATCTACCGTACCGCGGCCATCTTCCAAATGAGTATCCAGCACTGGCCGGCGATAATATTGGAGCTTCTGCTCTCTCTAGTAACCACATATTGGTTCATCTTCACGCTAATTCTTTCATACAGGTAAGAATATATCAAGTAGGTCTACGTTTCATAGCTTGTACAGAAACAAAAAAAAAATCATATGAAAACCCCTTTTCAGCCACACCTACGGACGTCGAATGCGCGTGAAACAGGTCACTTGCTTCTTGGAATCAGCAAAAATGGCCGTCCACACATATGTTGCCCTCGCCGGCTCATTAATATGTTATACCACCCTCCGTGGATTTTCCCGAGTACGTTATGGTCCCTATGAAAACAGCCCAATTGATCTCGATATCATATATGACGCCCTTTTCTATACCTTTTTGACCTCCACCAATCTCTCCATTCTCTTGGCTTTCATTCTGGCCACGAATCGCGCCCTGAACCCGTGGAAAACGGTAATTGTTGGCCGTGAACTTCTTCGATCGCTGATTGCCGGATTTATTTGTTTTATCGTGTATGATTGTGCTGTCACGGCCCTACCGTACCAGGAGCTTTGGGATGGATTACCCTATCTGGTGCCCCAATTGATCCCGTTGGCCCTGTTGGCCATCACAGTTCGGACTATCTTCTTTAGCGAAGCCCCGTTGAAGGCGTTGGAATAAAAATTTTAAGGTTGAGTCCTATCCCAATATACACGATAGAAACAAATACGTTACATTAAAACCAGCTCCACAGAAAATGATCACGCTAAATACACTACGCCCGGATATAATAAAGAGAATCGTCCAAATCTTTCAATCTAATGAAATTATTAAATTTAGGAAATTGAAATTTCTGCCTTGAAATCTTGATAACTGTTGTAAATTTTGTGCCCAAATCCCAAGTGCGCACGCCAGCCTGATCAAGTCCCGATTACAGATCCCGTCTTTTTTTTGTTGTATCGGACCCTGTAGGGGTTGGGAAGCGGGGGGCTTCCGGATGCGGCTCGTGACTGCCGCGTCCGGGGGACCATCCGTTCTGACAGCTTTTCCCTCCCGCCCACCCCACTGGCCCACCACCAATTCCACCGGGGTAAATAACAATCCTATGGCATATCCTAGGTGTCCGGATTCGGGGTTCCCGATCTAGGCTTCATAGGTATTAGAATATCGGCATTTTCGGTATCTTTCTAGCGGTATTTTAGTTTTTTGGAAACTAATATAGGTTTTATGCTATGTCGTCTTTTTCTCTATGGCCCAGTGCTCTGGGTAAAGACGTGGTTTGGGGGGTTTAATTAAATATTTCCACTAACACCTTATTTTCATGTTCCGATTCCCGATTTCTCAAATGTATATTTCCGCCTAACAACTGATCACAATTTCAAAATCGTCATTTCATCCCTCGCTGGTGCATGCACCCCCTTCCGCTTCGAACCCAAAGCACCAATTCACCGGTCGCTATCTGGGTCATCGGGGCTATGAGATCAGGGGAAGAATATGCGGGCAGGAAAGATACCAATTCCCTTTTGAGGAGCGAAATGGAATGAAGATAAGAGGACGAAAGTGAGAAACGATTAAAAGGAACATCCGCCCCACCCCCGAAATGCATTCACCTCATCCACCCCATCCATTTCCACTATCTTACCCTCGGGGCTACATAAGCCCTCACATAGCTTCCGATCCTGGTTTTGTTTTTTTTGTGTACATTAATGGATAATCCATCACTATTGGCATTTTACAGGATTCTGTTTATTCAACTAGTTCGCGAAGTTCACTAAACGTTGTCAGGTTCTCATAAGTACCAACCTCCAGTATACCTAATTTTTAGAATGGTGGAAGCCAAAGTGGAGAAACGAAAAGAAAATGCAAAAGATTCCGATCGAAAGGGAATTTTAAGGAGTCTTTCCTTCCAGGTTCACCTTGTTCAACCCAAATTTTCATCAATTTATTTTACAGTTCTCCAATCTGGGCCGTAAAATGAGCCTGAGCACAAAGGATAAAGAGCCAAACCCGTATGACGATACTCCGGAAGAGGTTTATGATGAGGTAGCGATTCTCCACACGTTTGGAAGCTTTTACCGATCCAATATAGGTAGCCCTTGGACCTCTCCTTGGAGTGCAATGCTTCGGAGTGCTTGAGAAAAAGTATAAAAAGAAAAATCGCCCCGCCACCTGGAACAAACGGTACGTTTTTAACCACAATTCCATTCTCAGGCTATTTCAGGTTTTTCATCCTAAAGGAATGTTTCCTACTCTACTACCCAGCCAAGAACTTCAAGGAGTTTGAGCGCACGAAAAAGATCAACCTGCACCCCAAGGTGAGGTGAATCGATTTTACAAAAATTTATATTTAGGGCGTTATTCCGCTTATTGGATGCTCGATTGTTAGTGGAGGAGAGGTGACTTTTTAAAGACTTGATTTTGTAAATCTAACTCTATTATTATTGTTATAGTCGGGCCGACGACACTGCCTTCTGATCGCCCATCCACAATTTGCTACAGCCCTCGTTCTATCTGCGCACGACTCAAAAATACAGGATCAGTGGCTAAAGGCCTTGAGGAGCGCTACTAAAATGTAAGAAAATTATAAAAGCTTAGATTGCGCATGGCTTAATTTATAGCTCATACAAAAACACAATCTCCGGTGAATCGATGATTCGAGAATTGGAAAGCCGCGGTTTAATGCTGTCTGAAGAAAAGAAAGATTATGAAGAGCGACTCCGTGAAGAAGCGCAGGGACGTCAGGCCGAGCATGATCGCGTTATGGTATTAGTGAAACCACTAAACCTAAAAACTAACATCTTGTCTAGGAACTAGCAAAAGTGAAAGATGAGCTCGAGGCCGAACGCGAAAAATTAATCCGGACCACGAAAAAGCTGAAGGACGACTTGCAGAGCGTAAAACAGTGGGGCAATTTGCCAGTGGTTGTGACTTCAAGGTACCTTTAGGGAGTTGAAGATCACCAACGAGACAAAGCGCACCTTGGAGCAAGAGAAACTGTCGCTCAACTCAAAGACTGAGCACCTTGTTGCAAATATGGAGGTACAGATTTTAGGACGGCAGCTGTAAAATAAGTACTTTTAGTCGCTAAACATCGAAAAGGAAAAGATTCAAGAGCAACTGAACAGCATCCTGAGGTAGGAAAAAGTTAAACATAGATAATACGTATTTTTCCAGGGAACGAGAACAGTTCCTGCTCGAAAATCAAAATTTGGCGACAGCCACATGCCAGCTGAAAAATCGATTGCTGGATATCGAGACCAAGACGAGTTGTATCACCCAAGAAAAGGACAAAATTGAACAATTGTATGAATTTTTAATTATTTAGTGTTTGCGCTTAAAAATTTGCTATGCAGCCTAAGAATTTAGGTTGCGTCTAAACGAGCAGAAAACAGCTGATCTGGAAAAAGAGCGGCAATATTATACGTGCCAGACGAAGGAGCTGATTTGTTCGCTAAAGGTAAAATTTGTCAAAAATTAGGATGTTGGACGTCTGAATCCTTTTATTTCGAAATTTGAGAAGCAAGTGTAGAAAACCAATAAAATATGACGCTATTTTTCCCAAAAACCACATTTAGGAAGTGACCGATCAGAAAGAATGCACCGAATCCGAGCTGCGCGATCAGATGATGGCCCGAATTGGTGCGGAGAAGCAATTACAGGTATGGCGGAAATATAGGACAATAGATCAGAGCCAAGGAATTATAAAATGAAGAAAAATCCTTCCAACTAAATTTCAGGCAGCCGAAAAAGCCCTCGAACACCTCGAAATGGCACTCAAACTGACCGGGGCCCAGATGACCGAATTACAGGAACATATCATGCCCGATGTCCATAAGTTGAGAGGTAAATCAAAAACGTCATACCCCACACCCGACAACATTTTACAGAATTTTTCGAAACGTGTGCAGAAGAGGCGCGGCTGGAGGCTAACAAAGTTTGTTCAGCGGTGACCCTTTCTTGCTTTATACTGTCCCATTTGCATGTTGTCTTCGGGGATACTTTTAAGGGGAAAGTGCCATGGCAATGTATGATTGGCGTTTCCCTGCTAGTCGAAGCTAATGCTCACCCCAACATTTAGACGGGAATCATGCGGCAAGCCATCTATGCCCGTAAGTCGATGCGACGTCGCTCAACGCGAGGAGTCCGAGGATCATTTAAAAAACCCGGGAAAGATGGGGACAAATTTAAGGTAACCAAACTCATTGCCATCTCTAAAATGCTCTAATCAGGCCAAAGATCCAATGACGGACAGTGCTCTCTCGCAGTTATGAAGCCAGAAGTCGCTTGATGTGCAAGCGCCCATATCGACAAATCTGATCGTATTTGTGCAACTATCCGCCCTTTTTCTTGCTTTGCTGAAATTAATGCAGAATTCAGAATAAACGATTTTAACCTTTGAAGTTTCGGGCTAGTAGCAACTTCCCCATGAGGGTGGCTAGCTGCCCGGTAGGATAAACAAATCGGCCATGTGATCATGTAACCAAACACGTCCATTTTGATTGGTGTGACGATCATATCGATTTATTACCGTCAGCCTCGTTCACCATTACAGTTCAAATATACGGAAAGGTTCCATTTTTCCTTGATTTGGCCTTTTCGCAATCCCTAAGCTCTAAATTTTCTAAATCGCTAAAATTTCAACCCAACCCCCAAATTCGAAGGCAGCAAAACCCTAAACAAGGTCAGCGTAGAGGAGTCTACCGCCTTTAGCTAATCGCCGTAAACGTGTGCTGAAGTGGTTGGGATTCCAAATGTTATACGCCCCTCTCCCCCCAAAAACGGAAAGGAGGCCGATCCAAGACAGGCCGAAAAGTGAAACGCTTACCCGAGACCTCCTTTTTTAATCCGCGTCCAGTCTCGAACGCTGAAACATTTTCACATTCTTGGTTATGATTTTGAAGATGAATCGCCGGCATTCAACTTTCGTATCTCACTGTCCGACCATGTCATTTTAGGAATTTGGCGATAAATGTCACGTCTCGGTTTGGCATTTCTCATTCTAGCAACATCTCTGTGTAATTGCCAGCATGTGCTTCGAGAAGTGGTTGGTCCTTTTTATGTTTAGCCAGTTCTAACATCGTTTTCCAGACAGGTTTTTGTCGCCAGTTGCACCAGGATAAGTTCGACTCTTGCATGCAACATGCCGTGTTGAACTTGAAACAAGTCTATGACTTCTGTGAGTGATTCGAACAAAACAAGAGCGATTAGTTTACACCCAACGCACCCGTTTAGGTATGTATTCTATCTACCGGGATGACGATCTGTGCCAAAACCGTGTATCTACAATCGATTGGCACAATATACAACGTCAAATCCTCGAAACTTCCGGCACCATCGAGGGCGGCACGAACCCGGTCGTTCCGGAATACGATCCGCATCACCCGACTCGTCAAGAAAATCCTTACGCACAAAACTTTTTTATTCCGCACAACTAATTTCACAGAAGGGGCTGCCCAGCAGCCCCAAATAAACTCTTTATTATATCACAGAATTTGAACAAAAAACTCAACTCAACAGAAAATGATAAACGTCACCTAAAGCGAAAAATAAAATAAAGATGAACTAGTTTCCTGAACCAAAAAACACACCCGAGATCACACCGGTACAAATGAGGCACAAAACAATATCACAGATGCAAGAACATTTCAGTCAGAGATTCTTTCGGGATGTCTGCTTCTTTACAATCCACTTTACGAAGCAGGTCTTGATAGTTGGTCATGTAGGCTGCGTAGTCGCGGGAGGCCATTCTAGAAAGCAAAAAATACACACACAATAATGAATCAATTCAACATAGTTCGAATAAATTTGATAAATTCTTACCCCCAGGCGAGGGCGTTTTTTGGCGAGATCGACAATTCGGCAAGGCGACCGGTCAGCTGAGCACGAAACTGCATATGGATGTGTCGGATCAATGCCTGCAAAAGCGATAAAGTAATGTGAAAAACCGACACACCTGGGATTGGTAACGCGTCAGCATCGTCCCGATCCCATCACAAAACTTCACAAAGTTTCGGGTAATTGTCAAAAAATTCGTCGAAGTTCCGTTTGCCTGGGTGATCGTAGGTTCCCACTGAATAAAAATCTCTTGAATAAGTAAAGGAGCTTGCCGATTTCAGGCTCAGCGCCATGTTCGACTCCATCACCTCCACCAGCTTTGTCTTGATTTGGCGATAGTGGTGGCAGTAGTCCAGTACGATCTAAACAAATAATATAATAGTTTATTGGCAAAATTACCAGCTCAAACTGCGCTAAGAATTCGTCCTTCTCCTGTTGCGAAAGATCATGCGTCTCCCCGAGGATATTTCTGCAGAAGCTTGGCAATATGACCATAATCTGTTCAAGTGACCGTGCGCAAGCCGCTAAATGAGAAAAAGATATGAATCAAAAGCAATAACTCTTGCCTAGGTTACGCACAGAGATCGACGTCAATTTGCCCATAAGCAAAGCCCCAGCACCGAGGATCAACTGGCATGATCGGCTGTTGAACAATTTCAACAGTTCTATCAGCCTGAAAAAAAGTTCAAGATAGCAACCAAATACTAGCCTCTCGATCTCGTACTTCGTGAGCGCGAAATAACCAATAGTAGAAGCGCCGACAAGGGTTTGTACCAAGTGCGCCGTGGCTCTGCAAAGGAAAAGTTTTAGTGAATGACGGAAAAGCTCCTACCCAACAACCTTTAGTTCTTCGTCCTGCAGAAATTGCTCACTGCACGCTTCATCAAAGGTCACCGGATCGAAAACGGGATCTTTCACCGTCTCATTCACAAGCCAGTACTCAAAGCCAGAGCCATAAAGCTTCTTGAATTGCTCGGCTTCAGTGGGGGAAAGTCGAACCGGGTGCCAGCCTTCGTCGTCCAGGACTTTGCTGCAAAAATTGTTTTACGAAAAATCGATTATCAAAAGGCAATGAGGGGGTAATTTTAAAACCACTTACGATAATTCCTCGCTCCTCGACTTAATAAATTCGTTGGCAAATTGATTGGCAATAGTACGGGCGCAGAGCTCAACGGTAGTCATTATCTCTTCGCCGGTCCGGTGCTAAAAGGCACCCAGTTTTAGAAGATATGAGGCGAATGTCACCTCTTTTAAGTATTCGCGTCCAAATTTCTGGACAACGAGCCAGTTTGACGAAATTTCATTCATGGAGTCGATTTTCAGACCGGAATATGCCTAAAGAAAATTTGTATTGAAGATACGAAGCAACTAACCCCCTTCCGGTGATCCAATAGACGGCCGAGTCTCGTTTGCAGGCAACAATTTGCGTAGTCTCGCAAAGCATAAATGGCACACGGCAGATCTTCTTCGTGTTGAATCTAAGTTTTCGTTGTGTGACTACGCAAAAAAAGGAAAATTTAAATACCTCGGATTTTGTCGTCTCCGCCCATAAGGCGCATTTGAACAAAGGTGTCACGTCCAGGCCGCTAAATGTAAGCACAATTTACAATTGTAAACGAAAACAAACATCTTTTTGTGGAGATCATAGATGAACTGCAAATCAGTGCCAGCCACCGTTCCAGCAACCTGCTCGTCGGCTACTTGCGGTTGCGGCTTCGTCCCACAGCCACTTAGGTCAAACAGTATCAACATCAACTTCTAAAACAAAGCAATAATCGATAGGATAAGAGTCACCTGGATCTTTTTATAGTGGTTTCCCATTGTGATCAATGAGCTGGTCAGTATCAGGTTCCATTCTTCGAGGCTGAGACGTTCGACTAATTGTTTTAGATTTCTAGAAAACAAAGTACACGTAAGAAAGCCAACGTACTGTTCGGCATCAGCCGCTTTATTCAAAAGAACAAGCTGTGACTTGACACATTGGCGCATGAGGTTCGTCGTGGCATCGTGAATTGACGCTATATTATTGTTTCCAGGAAAATGATAATAATACAAACTTTTCAAGTAGCCGAGGAAGCGGTAATCCTGTAACTGGATGAGAGCCGTGATCAGTCGAGGCAGATCACCCTGAAATTGATAAACATATACCAAGCTGAAACAAACAAAACCTCCAGCAGCGAATTGAAATGTGTTTCCCAATCTTCCAACGGCTTCGCAAACTCCCTGTCAAAACTCGTGCCGAATGCATCGTACACAAGTTTATTCACCATTTTTCTCGTTTCGATTAGTTGGTTATCGGCCTCCCTGTAAAATAGATAATTGCGCTGGAACGACTACCTTTCATATTGAAAACGGGTGCACGAGAAAACAACTTGCCTAAATGCGGCCATATCGGCGATGCCCTCGCGTAGGAGGCCATGGCTAGTTTCAATGCATTGCAGGCCGAGCAGATAATCAGAGTTCTTGAGACATTGCTGGACGAACATTGTCGTGTTACGTAACAGATCGATGTCCTAATTAAAAAAATTGTAAAGGAAAAGAATGGTTCGCTACCATCAGCTTCTCGCGTAGAATAACTTTGGCTTCAAGTTTCTTGCAAGCATTCAGGATCTGCATCCGCCAATCCACGGCCGACAGCTGCATTCTCTGAAGTCCACTTCTAAAACGGATGTCGGTTTGAGGCAGCTACGCTACGATCCAACCTGATTTCCCCCAATTCCGTCAGCGCCTCGGCCAACGCCGAATCCAGATCTTGGTCGGTCTCGATTGTCTGCCAGATAGTGTTATGCTAAAAATAGGAGAAAAATCTTAAGAACCTCAGAACTACCTTCTGACGAAGCTTCGATGACAGTACCGCATCGATTCTATCATGATAATGATCAAGGACGCTTCCCAAACGTTCACGATCTCGAAACTCGCCGGGAAGCTGGAAAGCCTTGACTATAGAAAACATAAAATAATACCTTGCCGACACATGTTAGGTGTTGAGTCGCTGAAGGAGATTTAGGGGGACGATCCGTGTCTGTGAGTGGATCCGACGTGCCAACGGCGGGAGCCGTGAAAAGCTTGTTGAAGGCCGTCGGACTTGATAGTGAGAAAGTGGGAGAGGCGAAGATCTGAAACTAACGTCGTTAATCTCAAAATTCACCATCAGGTAAATATGAACATGCCGAAACCTGCCTTTGGCAAATCTTCCATCCCGATAGAGTCATTGTCACGATATGCCTTGGCAAGTCCTTGACGAGCAGACGTCAAGTTTTCGTAGCCCTGCAAAGCTAACTGGAAAACGATGCTAACAAATTACCTGGGCAACGCTTGATCGATACGACGAGATTGCGGCATTAGAAGTGGGAGGGATTCCTTGCGCCTTTGAGACGGTCTAAAGCAAAAAATATACATCGAAAGAAATCCATGGGTTAACCTTGTGGGGGACAAAGTCCTCGCCCCAGTGTTTCGTATAAAAAGTGGCAGTGGTAGTCCGGCTTTGGTTCGGGTCGGCGACGACGGAAGCGAGATTGTTGGTAATGCTGAAAAAATACGTTTAAAGAAGCTTTAAAAACTACAAATTTCCAGATTCAATTTCCAAACTACATTCAGAATTATCGATTCCTTCGATAGCCCCGTGATTTCTGGATACGATTCCCATTCCCAATCACCAATTTTCAATGCCCAAAGAGCGGCCAGGGCAAGACCTTTTTTCCATTGGGGGAGCGCGGATCCAGGAGGAGTGGGGTGGGATCGCTCTTGCCCGGCCGCGCGGGGCACGCCACAGAGCTGATATGGAAATAAAAGTTAAAGAAAACGGACCGCCCGAGTCGTGCCCTAATAGATTCTTGGACAAGGTCATCAGGAACGGAGTTTCCCCCCACATCTTGTCCAGAGCTCGGCTATCCGTTTTCCCGCCTATCGACCCGGCATTTTCCATGAATTTCTCTTGATTGATTAATTGCTGTCCGCGTCTGGAATTTGAAAGTTTTAAGCCTTACAATTCAAAGTATTGCCACGGGCGCTACCGTATAGTTATAGGTGCTAGATACCTTACTAACGAAAAGGCAGTAAGATTTAGTGTTTATCGCTACCGGCTTTTCTGCGTTACTTTTGTACGCTTGGCTTTCAGAAACATCTGAATCAATTTTCACGTTAGATTAGACCAGGGGAGATCGTCCCCAATTTCCTAATTTTAAAAACTACGCTATCAAAAAATAAAGATCCATCATTTTCGAATTTTAACGTTGTACGTACGCCCATCAGCCCACACCCATGTACTCTTAAAAGACACGACAGGAATTTAATTCTCGTGCGTCATCAACCCAACAGAATTCCCTCTTGAAGATCCATATATCCACCACAACCCAGGTAAACACCCTAATTCGATCAGCCATCCTGCGCACTCGAGACACAGCAATGCGAAAAATTGTGGCGCAGTCCCGGGGTCGTGACATTTCAGTTGGGCCGGGGCAAGATAAAATGATTTTCCGGTGGCGCGCCGGCTCAGTCCCAGAGAACATTGAAACGCGCAGTGACAGAGGGAGATTCTCGATAATGTGACATGGGCACGACGGCGCGACAGACATTAGGAAAAGTGGAGTCGCCGGGATTTTAGAAAGAAATAAAAAAACAACCTGCGGTCGGGGACACATGCACAACCAGTTTTTTCCCAATTATTGGAGTTCGAGTATCAGTGCGTGTGCCGGAGTTTCCTAGTCGAATCACCAATTAATTTCTAGGTAAGTTAAGGACGGCGCCGTCCATCTAATTTGGATATAACTTCTTCGACCGGCCTTATATAGTCTTTACATACCACCATATCTACTCTCTTACTAGTTAAAAAGCCCAGCCCAGCCCAAATGGATTCATTTCGCCAAATTTAATCGGTTTTTATCATTTCAAACCGCCTAAAACTTCTTAGATACCAGCACAATACATAACCATAATCTTTTTGTCTTTTTTCAACTCTAAATAGAAGCTTGACAGGTTTTACTAGGAGAATGGCGCTTCTATATTTTAACTTTTTCACAACGGACAGGGGATTTTGTTAGCGGGGGGGGGGGGGCTTATATTAGAGGTCAAGACGGCGCCTATCTCCCTACCACCTAGTGATTTACATTTTCTAGGGACCGCAGCGATTAAGTCTAAACTCCCCCCATCCAGTCCTTTCTCGAGTATTTGGCGAGTCGCTACCCTCCCGCGCCCGTCCCGAAAATCGCGACCACAAATTGTTCTAATTTGGTCACCGAAATCCCGAAACGGAGCGAGAAAAGTCGGGAAACAGGTGCGTACCGTCATCGTTTGGACATCCGTTCCTACCGCCCTGCCTTGCGCATTGATAGAAAGAAAAAACATGAACCTCCATACTGTAGATTTGTCCTATACCCCCTATTGCTACCATTCCTTATCCTTTATTTACTTGACTTATATAAATAGATAGGTGTACTAATTTAATTTAGCATTTAACGTTTAGCGCTTTTAAAACATCTTTTCTATTGTTATTTTTCCTCCGATCTCCAACAATTGACTATTCTAAATTGTTGTGCTTACTGACGATTTTCGGAGCTTCTCCCAGTGCTGTTGATGCCGACCTAATGTCTTTCTTGACCGCTAGCACCCCAACGCATAAACGGTCAAATTAGTTGTGCAGTTGGCATATGCACCCAGCCATTTGGGGAGGAAAGACCGAGACTGCCCCCCTTCCCCCACACATCATGCTCGCGCAATTTTTTATATGGTAAAATCTGACAAAGGTCAAGACTAAAAATAAGGTTAGTGATCCGACCAGTCAGTGTATAAGAGATTAATCGAAAAAAGGTGTGCTAACCTATAGATTGTAATCATGCGGTAACATATTTCAAGCCTGAACGCCGCATGAGAAAGGGGGGGGGGGTGCCTGCCGGGGTTAGACGAGCCGAAAAACACGCTCATGCTCCCGAGACAAAGGGTTGGGAAGAGGAGCACAGGGGAGCGAGGGAAATGGAGCCATAACAGCGAGATCCTAGGTGTTCGAGTAGTGCCAGCTGATCCTGGGCACTAGAAGCTCGAACCGGGCGTCTAAACACCCCCTTCGGTGACTAGTACTACAGGAAACTCTGGAACGGAGATCGTAGTCGGCGCAGCCGTGTCCTACACTGACTCATTAACGAAACGACCCGTTGGGTTGCTGAACTATATTCCGGCCCAGTCCTTTACGAAGCGCTCATTACAAATTATTGGCCTAGCTACCAGCCATTATTCACGCCACAAAACCGTTTTGACGAACAATTACGCGCTTGATGAGGGCGGATTGTCTTGCCCCAACCTGCTAGGACCCGGTATCCATCCTATTATGCATCGGCTGCCGCAATGCTCTCTGTATTTCAAGTTTGCTACGCGGCCGAAGTCGCTCAGCGACAGGATGACGCATCCGTTATTCTTAATCCTTTTGTTTATGTAAGTAGTAACTAGTTCCAAATGTTGCCCAAAAATCATTTTTTGTGTGGCCGGGTTACGGTAACTTTATGGAAAATGCAACTTTTAGGCGATGCCGAAGGTGGCAGATTCATCCAACAATGGGAAGGACAAACCGAACTCTTGCGCGGATGCTATGTTCGGAGCAAAAACTCAGAAATATGCCCTCTACTTCATAGTTTTCTTTTTGGCATGCTTAACTATCAAGGACGTTGTGGAATTAGTGAGTCGTTTCTTTGGTTCCGCGGAAAAAACTATTTACAGGTCCAAGACTATGCAGAAAATACAAAACAATCGGATCTTTCGCTGCGCTTTAATTCATCCATGGACTTCCCAAATATGACATTTTGCATGTCGACGCAGATGGCCCGGTCACATTGGAAAATTGACCCGAACGGCAATTCAACCGAATGGGATGCGATTGTATTAGTGAGTTTACGGCAGCTCTAGTCCAGTCTATAAATTTTAGGATGCTCTGACCGCAATGGATAACAAGACTGAGGCGCTAAGTTCTGCGAATCCCTGGAACTATAGATTGATCGTTGAAGCCTATCAAGTGCTCTCTGGATTGAGCTCAATGGAAAGAGAAACAGATGGACCTGGAGCAGCTCGTTCAATCTATTCATTCCGAAATAATCCAGAGAGGGGTGCAATTCGCGAGATGTATGAGGTAAGGAGACAGTAGCGTAAAATAAAGTTTTAACTTAAAGCTTAACGTTCTAAAGAATATTCAAAATATGACCACCATTCAGAAATGGCTTAGCTGGTGCGACAAAAACGATATCACCTATCAAGAGTTGATGCAAAAAGTCGGCGAACAAGTCTACAGGGCCTCTCATATCTCCTTTGACCGACACACATTTGATGACGAGCGACCAGTGATCAGACCGGACATCAGGATCCGCTGGATCTCCCTCCAACAAATGTGCTGGTCTCCAGAATTCAACAAGGAAAATTTCCAAAGGATCAACGATCAAGTAAGCATAAGTCTAGCCCTCTAAATGGTGCCCAAAAATGACGCCCTTATAGCCTCTCGGGCGATCGTGCGTGCCTTTTATATTATAGACTTTGGTATTTATGAAATGCTCTTCTTACAAAGCAACCAAAAATTGGAAGCGCCGGTTTTCGCTTTTTAGAACCTTACGAAGAATCTAAAAATTGGGAGATGCTTTTTTTTTGACTGCCTAATAATGCTGTCAAGATGGCGCTAATCATTTTTAGGGCAAATTTTTCTCTCTACGCCTGTGGTCTAACTTGGACAACGTCAAGAATTTGGACTGCATGCACGTTGATTTCCACGGAAGGGATTCATCCCTCAACCGCTTCATGGAGGGAAAGGGCCGAGCCAGAGATGGGCTTTTTGATATGGTAGGTCCCCAGGAGAACGAAGCAACGCAAAAGTTTAGATGTGCTTTGCCCAGCATCACCAACTGACTGTTGAAGTGAAGCAGCGCTACACAATGCTGGAAAATGATGACAATAATACAGCATGTGCCGAGATGAAGGAGGACACGCCGAATGAATATGATTGCCGCGGGCGGTGTAGGATGCAAATGATCCAGGTCTGACAAATAAAAGTTCAAAATTAATGATGCCTTTTTTAGAAGATCTGCAACTGTACGGCCAGGACCTTGGCACATTTGGCTACAGATGACGAGCTGGCTAAGAATCCGCTTTGCGAATATGCTAAATGCGCCTTAGAGTAAGACCTAAGTGGTAGCAAGGATATAGCGATAAATTCAGCGTAAATTTGGTGAAAAAGGGCGACTTCTCTGACGATGCGTGCAGGGCAAAATGTTTCCCCGATTGTAGCCAGACAAGATTTGATGTCAAGCACGAGGTTCTCGGAAAACTTCCGATGGAAAGTAGGCGCAAAAATAAAAAAAAATATACTCAAATAGATATGACCTACGCCGAAATCCATTGGGGCGCTTTTGAATATATCAATATGGAACAAAGCTACGTGTGGACATTATGGAAATTTATCGCTGCGTTAGGCGGTGCCATTGGAGTGTGGCTGGGATTGTCGGTCCTTTCGCTGATACAAGTAAGTGTAATTTCAGATTTAGCAGAACCAGCGAAAGAGCAGTTTCATCGGCGGATTTTAGGGTATCGGCTACATCTACAACACGTTCGTCCAGAAAGTGGTGGTTGAGAAAAAGCCGCTGCTAAATGAAGATTCCCCTACACCTGATCGAAAAATTACAGGAGATCGGAAAGTGAGCAAGGTGAGGAAAACTATTGGGTGCCTGGTTTCCACGATTAAAATGCAAAAGGGAGGAAAGTAGTGCTAATGAAAAGTCAAAACGAACCCAAAATTAAACAAAAACGGTAAATGATAATGTTCTCAGTCTGCTATGACACTAGCTGCAAACCCCCTGACCAGCCCATGGATGGATGAAGAGAAGGGACAAAGAAGGAGATCGGTAGGCCCTGTAAACTCTCAATACCCCCATTGACCTACTGATGAATTCAATCGGCAATCCCTTGTAACAAAATGCCCCAATTAATCGAGCACAAGCTTTTAAAATCGATTGGTAATACGGGTGGTGGAATCATTTTCTAATGATCTTCAATTAATTGTTTTTAGAAACCATCCACTGATAACGGCTACAAGGCGAACCCCGTGCCTACGAAGATCGTGGTCGACTAAATGCGCAATTGCCATCTACAAAAAGTCGTGCCTAGAAAAAATGAGAACGCTTTACGGTTTCCCCCTTCATAATCAAGCCTTCCCCGTTTCTAGCTCAAGTCCTTCCCAAAAACACTGGTGCTAACACTCAAATCATTTGCCTAATAATTTCTTATTCGTTGATGTTTCCAAAATACATTCTGATTGCGTGCCTATATCGGAATAAAGTTTAAGTCTATACCTTCTCAATGCCAAGAGCTTGGCCTCCATCGACTTTTGCTGCCCGATCAACGGAGCCAAATGAGCGCGGCCGAGATGAGCCTCATAGTCAATGTCATTCACTCCTTCTGCGGGAAGCCCTGGGCATAGCCCGGTCCTGCCATAACTGAAAAGAAAAAGATATCCATCAAGGTGATGCGCGGCTCACCGACACGTGTAGGATCCGCCTTCTCGGGCCGAATGTTTGCCGCGTAAGTGATCCAAAAACGCCAACGGATCGTCGAAATTAGCCTCCGGCTCACAAAAATCGCATTTCGCGAAGAAACTGAACAAGAAGTCTCAAAAAGCGAGAGAACTTAATTACCAGTAAGTGGGTCTCAACGTCGGCTGCACAAATTTTGCCGATCCGTCCACCCGAAGCATGTTCATGACCACCGGAAAACCAGTAGTCACCTAAAGATAAAATAATTAAACGGCAGCAAGAATGGAAAGTATAGCGAAAGAAAATAATGTTCAAGGTTTTTAAGGAATCGGCGCTCTCATAAGCTTCGATGCGCAGTGCTTATTGTTAAATCAATTAGACACATAAGGGTGCCCTTTCGATCCTCATTTTTATACGGAAAAAGTTTTTACATCGCAAAATTCCACGTTACGCAATCGAACAGCTGATCGGCCAAAGCATTCCCTATTATAATCGGATGGGAGCGCGTGGAGCGCGGAATCCCGGTGTGGTTTGTATCTGGTCGGAATGGGGCAGGAATAACGAAAAATAATGAGAAAGACAGACAAAGAAACAAAAATAACATCGAGAGAGAAAATATAGCAATATGGCTGTACAAAAGAGGAGCAGTAACCATTCGAAAAATAAAATTGCAAACGCCGTCAGCCCGATCACGGCAGAACCATTTGGGGCAGGGGCAGGTACGGTAGGTGCTAGCTGTACATATGCACCTATGAACAACTGTACATCTCTTAACTCAGACTCACTTCGTAAATAGGTGTCTACGTTCATTTTTTGTTTTTAATCCAATCTATTTTGAAGCACATCGCGGAAATTCATTCGACTTTTGTTCTCCATAACGTTGACGGTCTACAACTCTTAAGATTGTCAGGTGCTTCCAGGTTAACGGGGGCGGTAATTTTAGCGGGGGGCGGTTGCAAACTTTTCTTTGTTTAGCCTATATTTGCCTAGGGATAAATTGTAGTTTAGTTTAATAATGTTTTTGGTAGTTTCCGAAAACCAAAAATTATAAAAGCATTTACCCTAAAGTCACAAAATTTAGGGTTTTTGCTCCTTTTTAACCATTTTCTTACACGGTAGACCAAAAAAAGCATAAATTTTCAGCGTCTTTAATGATGTTTTTCTTTTTCCACCCCCGCTAACAATCCAAAACCGCTTGCAACGGCGTACAAGTCTATAAAAACGGTAAACTTTTAATTAGTCGACCCGCACAAGATTATAGAAAAAGTGCGCAACCGCCCCCCGCTAAAATAACCGCCCCCCCGATAACCTCGAAGCACCGATTGTCGTCTGAAAACGCCGAAAGTTGTTCGGGCCTCTGCGGTAGATACGAGGGTTCGCGCTCAAGCTGGTGATGTTGCCTAATAGTTTTGAGCTCGGCAAGCGCTTATGATGGAATCTTAGCTCGATGCAAATAGTTTTTCTGCTCTTTGCAGCTGACCTCAGCCCACAATTCCTAGGTTTTCGCTACGATTAGCTTTCTATTTTTCTACTACTTCCCAAGTTTCTAAAATGTTGCCCACGTGGCTTTTGTGGGAGTGTCCACCTGCGCGCTCCATTGCTTGTATTGCTTTCGCTGCTTTTCAGAAGTGGTATGCGAGAACTGCTCAGTCTTTACCAGAGGTTTATTGCATTGAACTCTTATTACGCCACAGGGAAAATGAGCAAAGATGTGGTGGTTGCCGAGGATGTAGGGAAAAGGCGAAAGAGAGACAAAAAAGGGGGGATAAAGCACGAAAGGTCCGGGTGTTCTCGGACGGATGTGCGAATGGGGTGCGACGGTGCGAAACAATGGATATTTCTGTTTCTGCTGTGAGGTGGTGGGGCACTTCTGGTGTTTAGAAGCACTTGCGGTGGACGATGGACGGGCCGGACTCGTCGTACTCGGCCTGAAAATAGAAAATAGAGAGTTTTATGAAAATTGGGTGGGTATTTGGTAAGTGAGTATAGGCTAGGGTATGCATGGGTGCTTACCTTGGAGATCCACATCTGCTGGAAGGTGGACAGCGAGGCAAGGATGGATCCTCCGATCCAGACGGAGTACTTGCGCTCAGGGGGAGCGATGATCTTGATCTTCATGGTGCTAAAAAGGAAATGATTTTTGAATTTTCAAGGTATCGCAGAATTTTTTAAATTCTACTTACCTCGGGGCGAGGGCGGTGATCTCCTTCTGCATGCGGTCAGCGATTCCAGGGTACATGGTGGTTCCTCCGGACAGGACGTTGTTGGCGTACAGGTCCTTCCTGATGTCGATGTCGCACTTCATGATCGAGTTGTAGACGGACTCGTGGACTCCGGCGGACTCCATACCCAGGAAAGAGGGCTGGAAAAGTGAGGGTATTCCTTATTTTAATATAACGAAATTACCTGGAACATGGCCTCGGGGCAACGGAAACGCTCGTTTCCGACGGTGATGACCTGTCCGTCAGGGAGCTCGTACGACTTCTCGAGCGAGGAGGAGGAGGCGGCGGTGGCCATCTCCTGCTCGAAGTCGAGGGCGACGTAGCAGAGCTTCTCCTTGATGTCACGGACGATTTCACGCTCAGCGGTGGTGGTGAACGAGTAACCGCGCTCAGTGAGGATCTTAAAAGTTGGGTTTTAATGGGGGTTTGATGCTGTAATGGTCGATTTTTTGGGTATAATCTGTCAAAACATACCTTCATCAAGTAGTCAGTCAGGTCACGGCCAGCCAAGTCAACACGGAGGATGGCGTGGGGCAGGGCGTAACCCTCGTAGATGGGGACGGTGTGGGTGACACCATCTCCGGAGTCCAGGACGATACCTAAAAACGGGATTGTAGCGTGGGCAAAGTTTTAGTTAGAGTAAAGTTTATACTAGAGTTTTTAACAAAGTAAATCCTACCGGTGGTACGTCCGGAGGCGTAGAGGGAGAGCACGGCCTGGATGGCGACGTACATGGCGGGGGAGTTGAAGGTCTCGAACATGATCTGGGTCATCTTCTCCCTGTTGGCCTTAGGGTTGAGGGGGGCCTCAGTGAGGAGGACCGGGTGCTCCTCAGGGGCAACACGGAGCTCGTTGTAGAAGGTGTGATGCCAGATCTTCTCCATGTCATCCCAGTTGGTGACGATTCCTGTAAAGCGGTTATATTATTTTTTCCAGAACCTTTTTTACTTTTAACTTTAACTTTTGCAAAGTGTACCAAGATGTTCGTCTTTTCCTGACGAGTATTTTGACGTACCTTACACCCCTGTAGACAAACAGTCTATGGTTTATTGGTGCAAATCAAAAAACTGACCGTGCTCAATGGGGTACTTGAGGGTGAGGATACCCCTCTTGGACTGGGCCTCGTCTCCGACGTACGAGTCCTTCTGTCCCATACCGACCATCACACCCTGATGCCTCGGGCGACCGACGATCGAGGGGAAGACGGCGCGGGGAGCGTCATCTCCGGCGAAGCCGGCCTGGAATAGATATGTAAATATGGAGTCTTTTCCTCCTTTTTTCATCCTTGCAGTTTGTAAAATCATTTCCCAATTGATACAAAAATTTCGATGAAACTAGAGATGTTACGCATATAAATCCCAGGTCGGGTAAGAAGTTAAATGTCGTCTTATACACGCTTTAGACTCTCTAGATACGCGCAGCATCTCTAGAAACAATCCCCTTCAAAAATCCACACCCCGTCATTGATCCCCCCTCAAATTTCAGACAGCCGGCTGCAGAGATGCGCGTCGTTTGGAGATGGTTTGCGGTGGAAGGGTGGTGGTCTCGCCGCGAGGGGGGAAGGTTCTCAAGCTAGGGAAGGAGAAGCGAAGGGAGGGGGTCCCGCAGCGATTGAGGGGTGGCTTCTCTGTTTGCGCGGGTGCTCAGCCTTGTCATTTGGAACAAATCTCGCAACACGCTTCGGTCCCCCGCGAAGAGCCGGCGCATGCGCATCTCCCCCCGGGTCCGAGTGTGCGCGCTTGGTCTTGGGAGCTCGGGCGATTACCGTAGAAAGGGGGGGTCGTGAAATAGGGGGGTTGACATTTTGATGGAGAAATTGCGGAATTTGGAAGGGGTGCATAATTCATTCTGATCTAATTCTACACCAGCACTTCCCCCCTCTCTCTCATCCCAAATTCACTCTACTTTCACTTTAGTTCCTCGGCTTAGGCTTAGTACAATAAATAAATAAAATAAATAAGCACAGCTAGCTCTAAAGTTGCAAGTTTCTTAGCCTATTTTTGTAACGTTCCCACCCCTGCTAACCCATGATTTTTGGTTTGAAATTTTCAAGCAAGGAAATCCCCCCAGTCTGCCCCAACCCGCCCCGGGAAAGCTGTAAATTTTTGAGGCGCCAAACGACTGGAGTTTTTTTGAGGAACCCAGCACAGCGCGGGTGGCGAAGAATGGATTGGCTTTTGGAAATGGCGGGAAACTAGGGGGGTATTTCCCAGATTGTAGGTAGCCCCAGCAAAAGCTACCGTATGCCCACCTTGCACATGCCGGATCCATTGTCAACCACAAGGGCCGCAACCTCCTCGTCGCACATCTTGTTCCGGTTGGACTGATTTGGGTAACCCTGGAAAGGAGAGGGTAAAAATGACGAGTATTAAAGAATTTTGAGAATAAGAAAACATCATATAAAATTCGTACACGTTGGAACCAATTAAGCAAATCAGGGCGTTGAATAAAAAAAGAAAGTCTAAGAAAGTAGCGTAGATAAAAGGAGATTAAAAATGATCATTATAAAAAATTCGAAGTATTTTAAGTGCGAAACAGAAGTTTAAGAATAAATACTTTTTAAGAAAGGCTGAAGGCATTGTCAAAAGTTGGCATTTTTTAGCCAAGGTCTAGCATATCAGAAGAATATCAGAAAATTTCAGAAGCACTTTAGATTCCAGCCTGCAAAAAGAATTAAATTTCCGATCTGCTATCTATTCCGGCTAAGGTACGATTTAGAGATTAAAATCCAATCCTCAAATGACGGATGATTGGAGGCTAGAGAAGCTTGAGGGTTACGGTAGCCAATGGCTAAAGGTGGGAAAGAAAAGCGGAATGCTGAATAGAGATGAAGTGTTGAAGTGTCAATATAAGACTCTAGACTGTTGGTCCCATAATATAACTATCGAAGGACTGTTCATGAAAGCTTCCAGGAGAAGCTAGGAGGTGGCCAGGGGCCCTGGACAAATAATGAGTGAGCCTTCGGGGGGAGGGGGGGAGGGCTGAGGGTGGTGCCGAGGGCCTGG